TGTGAACTATTTGCAACCGGAAATTAGGAGCTCTGGTGGTGTCCCGCTGGTGATTGCAGCAGATTTCTTGAAACCTATTGTTTCTAGGGAGGGGCGTCTGGTGTTGCTGGATTACAGTGAGGTCGCAGGAAATTGAGCGCTGGGTCAACGCCTCACAACATTTGCACTTTCGCATAAACTGTTCCTGAACATTTCCTGCTGTGTGTGGAGGCGTCCAACATCCTGATCAGCTGTCGTGAAAACTGGTGCCCCATGCTTGAGCTGATATAAAATATTTGTGTGAAGTCAAATCCACAAGAGCTCTAAAGAACAATGTTTCCTAACTGACTGTTGAACAGTACCAATATTATTTTTGTTATTTATGTGGATGAATTATCCATGGGTATAACACAAATACAAAGATGATTTGTGTCCGTATTGATATCCAACATCCTCCAAACACAGCATAAATGTCCAAAATAACAAAGGCAAGCACAGGCTGCTTCTCCTTCTCCTTTACGTGGCTTGCAGCCATTAGACGTTAACTGGACAAAATACATAAAAGTGAGTGAGAGGTGCTTCACACTGTGTTTGTTTTGCTATGTAGACCCATATGTGGTAACCTTGAAGATCAATAACCAGCTGCTGATTCATCATTCACCCTTGGTCTGTACTGTCTCTGGTCAAACTAACTGGCCCCATTTGACCATTAAATTGTCATGTGTTATGAGTTACACAAGAGGTGCTTGGCAACAAATGTTTGGCAGGATGTTTGAAGAATGACCCATACAGCCATGGTCTGCTGCACACTGAAAACAGCCATTACCACTGACAAGCCATACCTATCTTGCTCATTAAGCACAGAGTGTCTGAACCACGGTTTAAGTAATAACACTAAAGTTTGAAACCCAGCCAAACTTTCCCTCTTTCTCTTCTGAGAGTACAGTAGCATGACTGTTCAAGTTACCTAGACTTGAAGCATTATGTCATTTCCTGATGTGAGACAACAGTAATGGGAGCTGGAATCACACTTTGCTGTCTAATTTGCAGATGAAAATATGAAATTCAGATGTTTTCTCCTCATTAGTCATCCCTGCTGTAAGTTGATAGGAAAGCAGGAAATATGAAAATAGTGAGAAACAAGTGTGACTGCAATCACAAATCCGTGTGAGTGAGCATCTTTCCTCATTTGTATCAAAGATCACTCCTTTACCGGAAACCTGGGAGGATTAGGATTCTAAGCTATTTCTAATTATTTCCTGAGTATTAAATGCCCAGAAACCTTCAACACTGTGCATTATATGTCAGAACTGCATGTGTCCACATGTTAATGTGAAGCCAGGTTGTCCTCCAGACTGCACTTTTCTCAACAGCAAACTCTGGAATCTGCAGGGTTTGCTCCATCAATTCTCCTACATCTCAATCTCCTCATGTTCCCTTTCCCTGAAGCTACTGTCAGTTCGGATTGCCACATTAATCACAACTGACCTCTTCTACTCCTTGTTAACCACCACCATGTCTGGTTGGTTAGCCAGCAGGTGCTTGTGCATCTTGAACCTGAAGTCCCGCCGGACCTGGGCCCCCATTGCACTCACCCTCCCTCCCCTCTGCGTACACTATAGGACCTTATAGAGTGCAAAATATGTGTGCGTGGACCAGAAAAATGATGAAATGTCTTGATTCTTGAAGCATATTTGCAAAAAAAAAAAGAAAATGAATAAAAAGTACAACCAAAGAAATTCAGTAGAAACTTTCTGTGCTATTTTTCTGAAAGTGCACACAATGAATAGGCTGATCCGGTTAAAGTATTACATTTTTTGTGGGGTGAAAATACGGCTTCGTGCCTTCTGTTTCCCAGTATCTGCGCTTTAAAGGAAACTAGACGTGTTAAAAAAAAACAAAAAGGCAAAACACAAAGTCTACCAGGCCTGGAACTAGATTCAAATGTGAAAGAAGACCCGGCTTTGCATTCAGCATGTGTGGTTGATTGTATGCAAAAGTTGGAAGCGATGGTGGCATTCTACAACATTCCAGCTGTTTTATCCTCACAAGCATGACTAAGAGCAAGACTCTCACATACAAATTACATTTGCCTAGAGATGCCAATGATGCATGGAGGCATTTGTTTTGCATGTTAGTGGTGCAGGCACCTACCAGATGGTGGTTTGACTTTAGATTCTTTGATTTACATGCAAACAACAACCTTCCACAAGCAGGGAAGTGGGTACGTAACACATCACCAACTCAAACAAGGCTTTCGCGACTAATGATCTTCTTCAGCGTATTGTAATTACATTTAATGCAGATCTAATCTTTCTAAGGGTAGTTGAAGCTGTCATGTCACTATTATTTTACAACCCTTTTAATGAGGCAGCCATTCCTGTAAAGATTTTCAAATCTGGCCAGTTAAAATCTACACAGACTTGTGTTTATGTAAAATTTCCCATTATTTAATACGCATTTTATTTCAAAACCAAAACAGATGATCTTTTTAACTACTTGAGGTACGAGAGGGAAAAACACAGAATTCTGACTTTTTAAAAGACATTTACAGTTATCGTCTCTCTATTCATGATTAAATCAGTCTAACAGCTTCATGGTGAGAGGGACTGTTACACTTGATTCAAAAGCACTTCCTTATAAAGGCAAAACTCCAAAAGTCCTCTCTCTTTCATCAGGTACTAGAATTTGCTCTCTGAGCTGCCACTTTCATGCAACCTTCTTTTTGGCCTCCTTTTCCCCCCCTTTCTACATGAGGGAGAGAGGATTGTTTTCTAAAGGGGCCGGTGCTGAAATTCTGCAAGAAAGAGTGCATTTAACAGGATCACCGGGTTCAGATGTCACTGTCACAAAGGTACAATGGAGGGGAGTTGGAGGGTGAGGGGTCAGGTAGGCAGGAAGATAAAGGCCAACAGCTGTGAATGGGGATATGAGGAGGCTGGCAGGTGGGAAACAGAAGGGGCAGAGCTGAGGGGATGTTAATGTGGGAAAGAAGGCTGTTACCTCTGAGGAATGAAAAGCAGACCACCTATTGCAGAAGGTTATCATGTTCCAAGGTGACAGAGGCATGAAAAAAAGTGCAACAGAATCTAAAACGCACATATATATATATATATATCTTTAGAATTTTGTTTGGAAGCATGTCAGCATTTCTGAGGCTAATAACATGCCTGAAGTGTGAAGGAACACACAATCACACAAACAAGTACTTCTACTGATACGCACATGCTTGTCAGACCATAGCACACAACTATTTTGCTGCAAGGAGACAGTGCTAACAACGGAGAAATTGTACAACCAGCCCATAATCCAATATAAATGGAAATGCAATCAAAGTGAGGCTGACTGTGCTAAAACCTGTCAAAGCCCAGCAAAGTAGGCAGATTGCTGCACCCCTCCATTTTACACCCCGTGTAAATCCACTCGTGTAATATGAAATCATAATCTGACTGTTTTGCAACATATTGTGTACTGGAGATCATATCTAACCATAAAGGGTCTATCCATCAGAGAGAGAGAGATAACTTACAAAGTATGTCTAGATGTAGATTTACCCTGATCGAGGCTCCATGATTGCATCGGATGTGTAGCAACATGTAAAACAAGATCTAATCCAGTCTTTGCAGGCAGTTTTTCAAGTCCTTGTCAAACAAAACAGCATCACGTTAGGTTTACTCTCATCAGTTTACCAATTCACCATTCATGAACCCACACGTGTCTTATTTCAACTACTTTTTGTTAATCTTTGACATGAATTCTCTATAACTTTCAACATAATAATATGTAAATAGAACATTAGAAGTCAGTTCTAAAAATAGAAAATGTTCTGCCACATTTCCAAAGACCATTTTTGGACTTTTTTTTAAGCATTAAAGGATTTATTTTCTGTTTCAACCAAAACAGCAACAGCAAAACTGACCCAGAGATTTGCACAAATAAGTGTAATTTCTCTTGAGTGTCATGAGATCGGGTTAAACCAAAAGGTTATGAACTAAAATCTCTAAATTCACTGCGAGAGGGTTTATCGCTCCTACCAAAATATCAGTGTTTATCTGATTGAAAGCCAATCCCTTATCATTTTCTGGCCAGTGTGCCGGTTCCTTCGAACACTTTCAACAGGTTCACTTTCAGTTCCTCCCTTGCAGATAGGTTTCCATATTACCTGCTGTTAATTATTCATGCATGCTCGCTTGGCGTCTCCTTTGGAAAATAAAGGAAACTCTTTGGAGCAGTAATAGAGAATCACACAGTGACCTCTCTGTCGAACCCTGGCGCATTGTCTGTTTGCCTCCTGCTGCTCGTCACAAAGAAACTGGAGCCCAGGTTGAGATTATTTCTCCGCGTGTAAAACTTGTCCCTCACGCGGCACACGTCTATAAACAGCCACCAGAGTGTGCGCAGAGCTTGAAGAGCTGCGTACAGTCCCTTTTGTGATGTGCAAAATGATATCTCTGCTGTGCAACCATCTCTATTACAGCGAGGAAGAGATTGTCTTACCCTTTGGATTAGCTTCAAAGACCACAACAAATGAGCTTGGGCTGCTTGCTATGAACTGGTAGAGATCATGCTTAGCTGTATGAGGGGAAATGTCAGAGCTAAGCAAGACCAAAAGATGGCTGGCAAATGTCAAAGAGGAAGGTATTAAACATTTACAATGAACTTTGACGATGAACTGATGATGTTACAGAAATAAGGTTTTACCATTGTGGAGTTTTACAACTCTCCCAAAAAGAAAAGTTCTATTTTTACTCAATTCATTTCTGTGATATGGCTTCTTTCGAATGGAAAATGTCAGTGCTAAATCTTATTCAACTTTGTGAGTTTTTAAAATATATAAAATAGATTTATTTTGCAGTGCAGTCGAAAACCTGTTCAGTGTGACCATACTGAGTGAAATCTGATCACTCCATCCTTGAATCTAAAGGGGCACGTGTGCCAAATAGCAAGCCATCCCCAAGATATCGCCTCACAAAAAGGAAGGAGAGCGATCCAAAAATAAAGCCAAAGACCCTTAGGAGACTTCCGTATCAATCCTGAATTACTTTATTTGTCGCAAAGTCTGATGACAGAAAAATACACATTAAAACCAACCTGCTACATCCTATTATTTATTTATCATTTTTAGTGCATACATTTGACAAATCTTCACAACATATACAGTTGATATGTCATGGACAAAATAAACAAGAGCTTATGTTATTTTTGTGTTTTTCATTTTTGCATTGTGTGCAAGCCCTTTGAAAAGTTCTGTATGCCCCGATGGTGCGGCTGCTTAAAAAAATTCAGGAAGCACTCTGGATTGTTGCCGAAAGTGGAGGGAGGAGGGACATGTTCACTGAGGGGTTAAGAAAGAGAATGTCATTAAATGTACAAAAAATCAATAATTTATGCATTTTATGATGACCCACAGCATCTTTTAAGATAATAAATCATGGAAACTTTGTTGAATTGCTTGAGACAAAACACTGTGCCAGCAAATTAGGTGGGAAGTGAATTATTAAATATATTCTTAAATAAATATCATATATTTTGTTAAATAAATATCAAACAATTTCCGTAATGAATGTTAAACATTTCCAGGGAAAATATTAAGGCACAGAAAAATAATTTAGAAGAATCCCAACAAAACAGCCAAAGGTCTATCTAACTTTTTTAAAAATTAGTTTTTGGTGCCTAATATAGAGGAGGAATGAGAGCTTTCTCATTTGTTTACCTTCTAGATGCATCAATCCCGCGCCCTGGGTGGCTGGTAGTACTGTTGCGTAGGTCTTGTGCGTCTCGGTTGCCCATCTCCCCCCCGGCGAAACTCAAGTGAACTATCATAGTAGCCATCCTCTTCTTCCTGTCATTGCACGTTTGATACAATCATGTGTTACTGCGAAAGATTAGACAGTAGATTTGCACTGAATAATGAGAAACTGCAACCGATTGCCAACCAGCTAATTCTTTTCAATAACTGAATTCTGAGAAAAAGTTTTTTTTTTTTTTTTTTTAAACGTACCAACAAATCAGCAGTAATGGGTTTGATGTTGTGCAGGAGGACCTCTTCACAGTTTCCGTAATCGCTGAACACAACCACAGCTGTAGAGCCAGACGGATGAACGGCATCTATTCTGGCATGATAGAACTCCATGGACAAAATAAGAAAAGAAGAAATATTAATCTTCAATGCCAACATTGTTGTTCAGTTTGTTTTTTTGCATGATCAACCAAACCTCAAAGAAAAAGCAAGCTGAAAGTCCTTTAACAATGAAGAAGCATAAACATGCTCAAATATGTCCTGGAGCAACATACCTTGCTGTCTTCCCAGTACAGGGCCAGGCACTGGTCTCCAGGCCTCCAGTTGAACTCGGGGAAATGACTCTTTTCGGGTCCTCGAGGGCCCTGATTTTTGCCTTGCCCTGTCCGTTTTTTAGGTCCCTGGTTATTAGAAGAGTTTCTCTTGGGTACCTGATCTCTATAAGGGGGATAAGACGAGTTTGGTGGTTTAATGGGCCCAGTTCTTTTATTCTCCAGCACTCCATTTTGGAAATGTGAAGGGTTCCCTGTTACTGTTCCCGAGCCTTGTGTTAATCCCACTACTTGAGGAGTCCCTGAGTTTCCCCCTTTGGAGTTAAATATCAGTGGCCCGCCGTCCCTTTGCCGATCGAAGTGGTCTGAGTTTGGTCGGTCGAGCTTCCCTTTCCTCCTCCCGTTGCTGGCTTCTTCATTTCGTTCTGTGTGTTTGTTACTAACGTGACCATCTTCACTTCCTTCAGAAATGTTCTGTTTGTAAGAGGAGCTGTTCTCTTTCACCCCTCTCCTGTGAGACGGGCCAGACACGTTCGCTCCGCCGTCTTCATTTCGGTAACGTTGTTGGTACGGTCCGCTGAATTCCAGCTGCTGCTGGGGTTCTTTTGAATGGGTGACAGAAGCCGGGGGGTTGGTTGTCGCACTCTGCTCGTCTCTCATTTCTCTTCTGTCGTTCTGAAACCGGTCTGAGGCGCCGCGCGACCATCTCTCCTGGCTCTTCCACGGCTGGGTCTGGGAGCTGGCGTAGTTCGAGGCTGGCTCCTGGCCCGGTTTGGGGAAGTCTGTGTCCCTGTTGAAGCGAGGCGGTCTGTCATTCCTTTGTTGCCTGTGATCATTATGCGAGGAGAACTTGGTATGAGGTGCTTCTTTGGTGTGATACTCTGAGAAGGAGAAGTGTGCTTTGTCGTCTTGGTGCCTCTTCGGCTCTGAAGAAGCAAAGCAAAAAATTCCATTTCACACTGTGGCAAACCAAAGGTTTGATAAATAAAAGACATCTGGGGATGCTGTACAAGTCTTCCACCTCTGCTGATTTTCTAACATGTGAAAAAACATGCCTTAAATAACTTCTGTGACATGACATCTTCACCCACCATCGATGGAGAAAGCGCCCATCTTAGATTCCAGAAAGTCAAACAGGGTGCTTGGTCCCGACGGTCTTCCCCCTGCTCCTTCCTCCTCATCGTCATTTCTGGACCTGCCTCTTCCCCTTCCTCTGGCTGGAGGGAACCCAAAAATACAAATATGAATAGTCTGACCCATCAGATTGTATGTAATTTCCCCTGGATGTAGACATCTGGGTGTGTAGAATTAGATGCATTCTGGTATTATTATGTTAAAATAACTCCAAAGCAAAGCAGGTAAAACAGAACGTCTAATTGAAACCTTGGTCAGCACCAGAGTGTGTACAGTTCCTGATTAATGGACAACAGCCGGTAAAACTGCCGCTGTGGACTTTAACTGGGCTGCTCTCTCTGTAACCTTTATTTTACTCTGCTAACTCTGCAGATATGTGACGCCTGGTGGGCGGAGGGTGTGTCTGTGTGGGTATGAACCTCTGGGTGCCGGCTTGTTAGATTCAGCTACCACAGAGCCTGGTCTGCTTCCAGAAGATCCGGTCAGTAGGCTGTTTAGTGCCACTTCGAGGTTGTTATTATGATCCATTAGGGCCTGTCGAGCAGCCGCTCTGTTAAAGCCCATCTCCATGATGTCCCTCAAAGCGCGTTCATCCACCTATCCACAGGACGTAATGAAAGGAAAAAATTGTTGGGAAAGTATAGAAGTATAGGCAAGGGAAGAGGATTTCTGTGTGCATAATGGCCATAACGGTAACGAGAATGATGATGGGAGATTTGAACTATCAGTAAAGTTGAGCCGCACAGAAAGCTGGAGTGGATTTATGGTGGGATTGGGACACAAAATTCCCAACCCTAAGCAAAACACCCCAACACCGTACCTTATTATCAATGTGTTTGGCCCTAAAGAGGGCTGATTTTAGCAAGAAACCGCAACATCACAACACAAAGCAAGACTAATAGCCTGGCCATTTGATTGGAAAATCGCAATGGGCATCCAGTTCATTTACATTCTACAGTATCATAATCGATGCCCAACTCGTTCTCTGAACCATGAAATAAGACTTCAGGCTTACACCAAAGGAACCAAAGAAGAGCTGCGAACAAGTCTTTTAAATTGGTTTGTAATTGTAAATGGCATGTTCAGTAATGCGAGATAAAGTCATTTTTCAAAGGATTCTGTATTTCGTTACAGGCCTGTAACACATTTCTCTCACCAGCTCTCTGTAGTTTCCTTCCTGTCTGCTTTGTGGTCTTTCAACCTTGTCTTCTCTCCTCCTCTGACTGTAGGGGTCTCGGCTTCGGTAAGACGAGGTGGCGTTGGACAAATTACTGCCTGCGTTTCCTCCGCCACCAAATGACCGTGGTCCCTGAGCAAAAACACAAAAAACAAACACAAAAAGCACAAAGATCAATTCAACTTCTAAGCGAAGCACAATGATGTAGTTGACACTAATTCTGTTTTATATTTCAAGAGTCCCACAAATATTAAAATCTATTTAGCTTAAAGAGGATACCAATGATCAGCATGCAGTTTTAGATTGTGGCCAGATTCAAGTCCTTTCATAGAAAAAGGAATCAATAAAAGAAGCAGAAGGAGTTGTTAACATGGCAGAAATCCTCAACAATGGGATGCGAGAGAAAGAAGTTGCCTTGGATAAACACAAAAGAGTTTAAAGACATTTAAGAGTCAAATATGCTGCGATGACAAAGTCAATATGTTCAGAGAGACGCGGGAAGAGTTTACAAACCTCTTTTGTCTTTGCCACCTCGGCAATAGCTGCTGTCCGCTGCTTCTCAAACTCATCGTTCTCGTCTGCGTTCTTCGCCACGTTCTGAAGAGTCTGAAGGGTCTTCCTCTGGTCGAGGTCTCTGCTGTCTATGTCGTCGTTCCTTGCACTTTTCTGAAGGGAAGGTAAGAACAGGTCCTCCTCAATCCTGCGGTGTCTTGCGCAGATATATTCATGTTGTTTCTATTTTATTTCAGGACTTATAGAGGAAATAATTCACGTTCAGATTTGAGCTGTTTTCCAAATCCGATGTACACTAAACTCTTCAGGGGGAACAAAATGGCTGCTGAAGGCACACACCACTTTTACCATGCATGCTGTGCCACATGCTAGCAGTAGCTGTGAAGATGCTTTCAGATAGCTAATGGTTGAAGGGCCCGACTCACAAACTGAAAATTGCTGGCTTTACAGTGTCAATCATCGTTGAACACAATCACCTATAACAACCCAAAACAAAAGCCTAAAATAAACCCAGCATCAGAAGAACTATTGCACTGAAGACCCGGGAAATGTTGAATCATAATTCCTAAATGCTCCTCCTGCTGCTCCGTAAAGTCTAAACAAATCTGTAATGCGGAGTGGTGGAAAATCTAAAAATCCAAGTGTCGAGCTGTAACAGATGCACCCGCCGCTCAAGCTGTGATCCCTGCTATGGGAGTATTGACTCCTAAGCTCTTAAATGTAAAACCCTGCTTCATTTCCTTATAATGGCAGTGGCATACAAAGCCAGAAAATATAGAACAGCGTTTAATAGGTCTGAAGACACGGGCGATCGAAAGGAATCAGAAACCAGCTGAATGATCGCGGTTGTATACATTGTGTGTTTTTGGAGCGCGGTAATTGAGTGTGGCTGTCGCTCAGTTGGAAGAGCGGTCACTTGACAACTGGAAGGTCAGGGGGTTTGACTTCCAGCCCCCCCACAACCCGTGTTGAAACATTCGTGGGAAAGGCACTGAACACTTCATTGCCGATGCATCCATCGATGTGTGAATGTGTAGAAGGGCGCGCCGTGACCTGTGCAACTATATTAGACTGAAGCATGCTGGATGAGTGTGGTTGGAAATGGGCGAATGAGCCATGGAGTGAAAAAGCACTTTGAGTTACCAACTGGACTAGAAAAGAACTGTGCGAGTACAGTCAATTCACCTGTTAGTCATTCTTTGTGGAACACCTTTAAAAAACTGACTTTTGCTGGAGTGTAATCGCTTCCTTACCTTTTATGCCAATTACCAAAGCCTTTTATTTGAATACTAATGCAATATTAACATAGAATGTTGTTGGAAGGGAAGTTAAGTAAAATTAGAAATCAGCCATCCGCTTAACGATTCATGAAGACACCGTTGTTCAAAAAGATCAGAAAACGCTTCAGGGGAAAAAGGGGGCCTCATGGATTTTACGTCTGCAGCTACATCATTACTTTACTTTCACTGAATTGTTGCCGAAATCTAATTTCTTTATCCCGACTGCATTGTTCCTTCTTGTTATTGAGTATTCCTGTTTCAAAGTGACTGTATCAGAGTGGGAGCTTTTCACAGGCTTTGATTAAAGAAGAGGGCTGTTACACTTTGCAGTTTTCCTCACCTGACCAAATGGCACAAAGGGAGGAGGTCCACCTTCTGCTCCAATGTTACTCCTGCTGTGTTTGGCCAGACTCTGCAGGTTGAAGGATAAAGGGAACTTGTTCTTTAATCCTAAAACAAAAACAATTCTAGCAACAACAGACAAATCAAAGGCAGGCAGTGGCCACCGTAATAGATTTCAACTGATTATGAAATTATGTGTTTTTGGGGGGCCAAAGAGGCCGAGCCATCATTGGAATGTTGACCCTCACCCTTTGTAGCTGCCATTTCTCCACCATATGATCGACTTCTCCGCCAAGGACAGAAATTTTTGAGTCATCGAGCAGCAGAAAACCATTTTTAATCTGGACAGCACCAAGAAGCTTCACCTTTGTTCCAGGGGGTGTATTGAGACTGGAAAACAAATAAAAAAGGTAAATAACTAATACATATAACAAACTAACATGTGCTACAAATTTTTATTTTCAACCTAATGGTCAACGAATGAAAACATTAAAACTGTATATACCAGGCTAAACGACCAATGCCTCACCCATATCACTTTCTAAATGACATGGAGCAGTGCCAGCAGATGGATGGCAAGGCTAGGAGAGACTATTAATAATCCCAGCTGCTCACCCATCCTCATGGTAAATTAAAAGAGCCTCTATCTCATCAAGCCTGATAAGGCCTCTGCCTCTCTCATTAGAAAAGCACAGGGACTTAGAGGGATTTCCAGCTACTGATTCTGGAAGCCAAAGTAACAATTATGGATTTTACTCCGAACCTATGAGATAGATGGTGCTCTCATGGTGGCAGCAAATGCACAAATGGGGCGCTCGCTATTCTTCCTCTAATCACATGGATTCAATTCCACAAACATACTGCTCGGCCCCAAGGTTGCAACCTAAAGCTTAATTGTCTTCCCCTCACATCATTGTCTTACATGTTGAACCGTCCCATAATCCATCTCATCCTTCTTTGCCACCCACTTACGGCCCCCCTCTCACTAAAGCGGTCACTTTCATCAGACACACTAACCGCTGCTGCTGGCTGCCAGTGTGTGTGTGTGTGTGCTGCTCATAAAGAGGGGATTTGTTCCGTTAGTCCCCCTCTCCCCATCAGGAAGTCATGGCCCTTATTCTGGCCACTCCACCTGTACAGACTGGCCAGTCACCATGGCAGCAGTCGCCAAGGCCACCGTTCCTTGGATGGAGATGTAATTAAGGCTGGGGGTTGTTAGATCAGCAGCCGCCATGTGGAAATTGCAGATAAATGGAAAACGAGGCACGTGGAGAGGTGCGAGTGTTGACAAAAAACGTGATAGGGTGTCTGAGTAGAATGGCTCACATTAGCTCTGCGTATGCGAGGCAGCAAATACACGGGACCTGTTCAGTATCAGTTTAGCAAACAGCGAGGTTGTCTTTCCGACTCTTTGTTTTAAAGCCAGCGAAATTGACTCCCCTGACAAATTCATTAAGCTACATTCCTTGATTGCTATAAAAATTAGTACACACCTGATCTTAGACAGATGTTTAAACTCTATTCCAACACAGGTGGTGTGTCCATCTGTCATTTGTAGGCGCAGCATTCGTGGGGCACCATGGGACTCCTCATTGTCCTTAGGAGCTGAGATGTTTCTCACCTTCTGCACCTGGAGGACACACGGCCCCTCAAACTGACAGAGTCCAAAAGAGAAAAAAGATGTGCTAAGGACAACTTATCAAGAACACTTAATAGAAGCAATTGTTTCCATTATTTATGCTCATGACATATTTGTTTATTCCTCCTATCTGCTTCATAGATTTAATTGTAGGATGAAGCCTATTGTTAAAATCCTTTGGAGGAATGCTACTGTCAATAATTGGGTCTATTTCTGTGTAAATGGATAAAGTGCAGTCTTGTTGCAGAAGCTAAAAGCCGAATTTCTGACTTTGTAAACACGTTTTTAAAGTAGAATGAGTGTAAAACATACTTAGGGCTCAAGTTAACATGTGTGAAGCACGAAGAAAAGTGTGAGTTAATATTTGGAGCATTCCTCCCTCCAGCTGCTGAGTTTAAGAGGAAAAATTAAGAAAAAAATATCTGGTTATTTGGTCTTCATTTAATAGGGTGATATCACCATCTAGTGGCATGCCTGAGAACTGCTTTTTGAATGCAGGGGAAAAAGAAGACGGCATTAAAGAACTGTTTATGCAGCACAACATCAAATGGTCCAGCAAATGGTGTGTGCAAATTTCTGTCCCACTTACCCTCTCAGTTCTTCCACTATTGATATCAGATGGTAGAACTTTTCTCCCCAAAGGCCTTAGGTCACTCTGCAAAGGAGATACTGCCTTATTAGAACGAACTAACAAATGATGTACCACTATTTGAAAAATGAAACAGCAAAAAAATAGATCCAACAAAGACTATTTGTCTTCATGTCATGGATTTTTTACTGAGCTGATTCTCAGAGACCTTTTGCAACTATTAATATCCTCCACGATTGTCTTTACAGTGGTTGAGCCCTTTCATTCTGCATTGAACTCCCTGCAAGCAACTGCATAGAAATAGCTTAGCAACAATACTTAATTCCAACTAAAACAGATTGTGTCTATCAAATACGCAAAATACAACTCACAATCATTGGTATAACATCTAAATGTGATCAATTAAGTATGCTATTGTTGTTATGGATTAATAATAAATCTTCGAATGTTTTTTAGACAATTCAACTGTGTTTTCTATAAGAAAATAAAGCAAACAAGAACTTACCATCGAATATCTTAGACTAGGTAAGAAAATATTCAAAATGTTCCACCACGTTCTCTGTGAGAGTCACTAACATTACTTGAATCTGTTACACTGTGGTAGTAAAATCAGGATTTTATTAGAATGGAGCTGCATCCAGGAGTTGGCACGTATTCTTCACAGACTGGTTTTATAAGTCAGAGACACGAGAATGAGAGCTGCTCTGTTTTGCACTCAGCCGTTCTGATAAACACGAGGAGACAGACCTCTGGAGCATATATATGCACAGCACCACTTTCCAACAGAGCATAGTTTAGGGTATAACTGTAGGAATGATCCAAACCGGAAAAAAATTATTTTGATGGTATGTTAATGAGTTTTTAATAACAATTTTGATTATAATGTGTTCAACCCATATTTCAAAGCTGGATTGGTCAAACTAACACAAAATAACATATTTATTCATATCATTATGTTTTTTTTCATTAACTACCATGTAAATATGGAAACATTGGAGGATATGGGACACACATTGATGAAAGAAGCTGTTCCAATTTCCTATGCTTTTTGTCTTTTTAACAGATTTTACAGCCCCAAAGGTTCTAGCCCAGATGTACACACAGCTGGATGAATCAGGTGATACATCTCACAGCGGTCTAAGGTTTCTGTGCAGCATTTCAGACCGAGCAGGTCAAGTCATTTCCTGATCAGATGAGTTGTCTCTGTCTGACTTCTTGGAACATCTATGAACATCTAATGTATTTGTGAACCGTTTGGTTATCTATACATCTGAAACACTGTGTAATGTTTCAGAATGCACACAAACACCTAACTAGAAGGTTGTATTAGAATTGTAAAAATAGAACTATAAGATATTTCAAAGTTACTAAATGTACCATTGTTTCTCTTAAATATAGAAATTCTGCATAATTGGAATGAGTTTTATTTGTTATTTTATTTGTTATATATTAGTTTACTTTTGTGTGACTTTTTTAATTTAGGAAATAAAACCAGTTTGTGGAAATGATTGCTGTGTTCTCTTGTCTAACCAGCTCAGACCATGACTTTTAACATTCATGTGACTACTTAAATAGGACTGAAATCCAACAGATTCAAAGCTTTAACTTAATCAATGTATGAATCTGTTCATGGCAATTCCAGGTTTGTGCATTTTTTCCATGTTTTTTTTGTTTTTTTATTAGGACAATGGTAATATGTGTCAACTCACAATGACCACAGACTCTTCCAAACTGTCGCTCTTATCTAATAAAATCCTGTTGTTTTTTTTCAATCTCACAAAAATTGCCACTAAAGCAATTTGAAGACCAGATATGTGCATTTCAGTTGGCTAAATGTACATGTCCAATTATTTTGCACAGATAAATTTGCGTTGGGACAATAATAAATGACCAAGTCGAACTTTAACCATAATACTGCTCAAATGTGAATATAACTGTACCGAAAGCCATAAAAATAACATCATTCAAAGAGGTTGGCAATAGACCAAGGAGGAGGGAGGTAATGGGAGGGCATGGAGACATAAGGCACACATACTGGAACTTTGTTTAAGATAACTTTTCTCTTTAAATAAACTTGGCTTTTGTTAACAAGTTCTCCACAACAGTGTACAGAACAAACTCATCTGCACTCTGCCAATCCAGGGTAAATATATCAGCTTGTTACACTACACAAATAGAAGAGCAAACCTTAAACTTAAAACTCACATCGAGTGCAATGCGAATGATGTCATTGTGTGTTATTTTCTCTGCAGATCCTCTGAGTTCTGCTATGCCTTCATCACTGAGGTACCTGTAAGAGGAACAAGTTGGTGCTGAGGGGAGATTATAAAAAGAGGAATCGCGTCATTTCCAGTTAACCCATTCTAACCAAATTTTTTTCCCTTTGAAATTGCTTTCAAAAACCACAAAACCAGTTGTTCTCAACTTCTACAGAAACTATCACATAAACATAAAAACAATAACAGCTGTTAAACAATCAGATGCCGTTAATGTTGATTTATGTTATCTGATCAGTATTCAATAAAAAGCTATTCAAATATGTCCTCGAGACTTGAATGACCCTTAATATCATATGAGATTCAAAGAATCCACAAGGAAGCATTAAACCAGGAACAAATACGAAAGAGACACACATTCACTTAACTGTAAATATTTCACAGTACTCGTTTACGTGGACACTCAAAGTGTTGTAGATACCTTGATAATATTATTATTACTACTATATGAGTATCAGCATGATATAACAGCTGAAAATCATGTGTTTTATTCATTTTATGTACAGTGTTTTGAACAAAGCAGCTTTTATTGTTACAAACCATCAGTGTATTCTTTCATTTTTTATATATTATACGATTTTGGCATTTTTCAAAATTAAAGCATGTTAGAAATGGTTTAGTTAGATTTTTTTTCCCAGTATTTTGGTAGATATGCTAACAATTGTCGATAAAAATATAATTCTGAACAGCTAAACCGAACCATTAATGAGATTACAGAAATTATTAGTTAAATCTAAGCGACCAAAAAAAATGTTTCGATTGTTTGCCCAACTACTAAAGAGACAAAAGGCTCATATTAAAAGTTATTAAATTCGTCATAAAGGTTTAAAGGTGGGCAGAATAAAAAACATTGAACATGCGGTGCTTATAGAGTAGCATGACGTGGTGATGTTTATATGTGGGCTCTATGAAGATGAACCGCCATATGTTGATAGTATTGTATTATGGTGTATGCCAATGCTGCAGAATTCGTACTTGTAAACGCTCATATGTTTGCAAATTTAAAACAAAAAGGCTCCGGGGAACATATTTGTTATTGCTAGATGTCGTTTAACGCTAAATGTGTATGCTAAATGTGCATTAGCTAGCTAGCATGTCTCGTTGCTAACTTTGTTTGACGTTTCAATTTTTGAAATCATATTAAGTTATCACCAATTACAGGATCTACAGATTATATACATAATGCGCCTCCCGTTTTGCTATGGCAAAACATAATTGTAAAGAGGAGTTAGCAAATGATTAAAGCCAATCTGACACCTCCTTGGGGCAGACAGTTGTAACATAAGCTACTATGCTACTTACCAGCCCTCTTTGGTCAGGGAATCTGCTAAATCGGTCATTTTCATCCAGATTGCTGAAGTGTGTATAAATACAACAACTATTCTTATATGGGAGAACCGAAAGCACAACTATTTGATTTTGTAAAACATACTATTATCTTCCAAACAATGCTTGCTAACTTGAATGTTGAATCAGCGTTGGATTCAATCTAGTCGCATATACGTCACTGACTGTGACCCGTGAAGTATGGCGAACTGTGAGGGTCAAAATGCCTTTTTTAAAATATCTTTATATTTTCCCCCAGACAGAAAGGTTTCTTGATATTAAGTAATCAGGTACATAATTTCCTATTGATAATATAAAAAAGAAATATTATTAGATTATATGCATGTAAATAAATACACAAACATAAATATTAGTGTTATTATTAATCCCCAAGGAAAAAATATATTATTTTTATATCTATTTTAAGTTCACTGCCAATCATTTTTAATTCAATGTGATTACATAATGTAAGATTTACAGCTACATTGTTTGACAATCTGGAAGTTGAACTGAAAAATACCTGCAGCTTGTCTGGGATGCACACTGCTGAAATTGGCCTTCTCATGTGCCAGAATCTAAAGAACATATAAGGACTGCAGCACATGTGGAAAAGCAAAACGTGTCCCAATAAGGGTTGGCTGTCCATTAATCTTGTGGCAGCTACTCGTGTCAAGTTTCATCACAGTGTTTTCCCAAATGCATTGCAACAGCACTCTGACTAGTTGGGATTAAGTAACATATCTACATCCCTTTAATCAAGACAAGTGTCTGAACTGCTTTCGTCAGATTGAGGGACAGGCAGGCCTTGGGATGATTAGATTTCTAAACAGCAGTTCACAGGAATCTATCAGATCATGTTCAATAAATACCAATGCAATTTGTTGAATATGTCCTTGTTCATTTTAATATTAAGTGTTTTGTAATAATTTCAGTAAGACTAAACACCTATGTAATTCACTGATATATTTAACTAAATAGAATAACTTGCAGTTTAGCAACAAAGAGAGGCAAAACTGCACTGTCACTTCAGATGATCCCAGCTTTCAAAGCTGGAGCCTTTTTCTCATGCATCTTGTGGGCAGTCTTGTAGGCAGAAAATCTTACTTAATCTTATGATGGTGAATGTTGATGATAACAAGTTATTTTTAGATCATTAATGTAATTGCATTTGATTGCTCCAAAATAGTACATGGGCAAATATGCTTTTTGAGTCATATCAATCAAAGATTGCAAAGCAAACAAACAAAAAATGGTATTTCTGGTGGGGTGTGCTGCAACACAGCCATTCAACAAAGCCAAATCCACACTGATAATGTGGATCTGGTCTACCAACACTGAGTATGTATAAATTTAAGTAAGGTTAATTTAGCATCATCCTAAGCAATGACAATTAAATTAAGTCGGATCTTAATAATGTTTAGACTTGAAAATGTCAAGTTATTAAAAGCTTTTCAAAGGGGTATGTTTTAATTCTTAAAAGGGTTGGTGCCTTGGATGCTTTTTTGAAATCTTACATTTTTAAATGCTAAAATTGAAAAACGGAAATCTTGCTATTGAACATTATATTAGACTTTAATTTAGCGAACACATTTCTCATGAAGAGATCAGGAGTCAACACTTAAAATAAGCCAGACCTAAATTAGTACAGTGAAAAGATTTGAGGATGCTTGTGAAATTCAACATCTCATGTTGTTACTTTGTTTTTCTTTTGGTACAAGCAGCTGCAAAGGTGACGTGTTGCCTTCCATGCTTTTTATGCCTGAGTATTAATAGATGTGTGCTAGTTTATTTAGCTTATACATAGTACTTCAAGAGTTGGTTTCAGGTCAAAAACTCTCTGCATTTAGAGTATGAAAATCACAGACAGAGATGGGTTTTTCAATAGAAAATTAACCAAGAAGAGACATAAAGTTTAAATAACTACAATTACACGTACATATACTGTATCTCTCTATATATTTTCTCAATGTAAAACTTAATCATAATAATAACAACAATAATCTAAAAAGAATACCATGGCTAATTTCAGATTACATTTGACAATATTCCATATTATATATTATTGTCACTGTACATTTTTGTTGAATAAGAAAATAAAGAAATATGGGGAACCTCTGGTCACTAGTTTCTCCAAAATGTTAGTGTTCATAAAATGAAAAGTGTAAAAGAAATAGACCGAATTGTCACAATTGGATACAGAATAGAATATCTATATATTCATTAGTGAATACAATACAACCATTGGTAAGGTTTTCAAGGCCTTCCATGCAGAAAGAGAGAACAGTAGGTGTTAAGTTTGATTTAAAAAGACGTTTTCCTGTGTGTTTACACAGACTTCAAGTATTTCACTTAGTATTTTTTTTTTAGCCTGCATTGTAGATAAAGACTGAACTTTATTGATGGGATCCAGTTAATGTGTCAGCCAAGCTGCAGGTTGTTGCAGTTAATAGAAACTTAAACAGCTACTCAATTGGACTTAGACTGGTAATTTCCATTTTCCTCATCTCCAGTATCGGCCCATCACTATTTGCTTGAATTGTCTCATGAACCTTTGTGCCTTTGTTACCATTGTTTTTCTATCAACTCTCTTTTATCAGTCTGTCATTAGGTCAGAATTAATTGAAGTCATGTTTAGCAACAGCAACGAAACAACTAGATGTCCTTCACAATGGTAATGACTCACCTTTTTCCTTTGCATCTACTGAATCCTTTTTTTAGACCCATTTTTCGATATGGATAAATGCTCACACAACATAAAAAGCCTTTTCAAAGGACAAAACCTGGGTAATATATATCAGTAATTAAACTTGTCGTGGTTTAATTATGAATTGAACAAAAGGCAGGATTGTATGGTGGGGATCCCATTTTTAACCAAAGCCACATGAGGGCAGCATAGGCACAGGGAAATGCCAATAATAGTGCCTCCATTGTTGAGCTTCAGAAGGACCTTTTTAGTGCTGTTTTCCTTCTGAATCCCTGAGCAGTAGTAATCCAGTAGTAATGGACCACCAAAGCAAAATATTCAAATTTCATGCAAAACAGACAGTATTCAACATCTCCATCACAATGCAATATAAGGCTGAATTGTTGTATTCTCTTCTCAGCTACTGATATGTAAGGACATGTTTAGCTAGAATACAAAATAGGAAGCTGAAAAAAACATGTATCGTACCCAAAACACTTCAATGATCTATGCAAAGAATGCAAAAGCATTTGAAGTCTGTTGTTGGCAGACTGTGTACATTGTGACACAAATATGATTCACTTTTGTAACACCTGGCACTATTTTGAGGGATAGGTAGTTCTACACATATCTATGCACTGGAATGACAATGCCGCTTTAATTTTTAATCTGATAGAATCAAAAGGAAAAAAGGGAAAAACAACACATATTTGGTCTCACTTTCTGTATATTGAATACTCATTTAAATAATCAAGATCACTGTCACCGTCTTACAAGACATTTAGAATTCTAGATCATCTAGTCTTTGAGGTTGAGTTTTCTTACCATTTCAGAAGGCCTGATTTTACAATGACTGAGAGGATGTAGGGCTACAGGGCCACCAGGCTTGTGTTTGGCTTGATGAGGAGCATTAACACAGTGCTGCCAGTCATGCAGCAGCTTTCACTATATTCAGTACAATGAAGGTCTTTGAAGATAATAAGAATTTGAGAGGTTGAGTTCAGTAAAAGTCAAATTTGACATCATGACTTAAGACTACAAGACTATTATTTTCAAACTTTCAAATTCATATACCAAACCAGTTTAGAATTTGCCTTTTTATAAAATAACAAAGTTTTAATGGGGGTAAAATAATAGTGAATAAGAGCTGCACTTATCAGACTTGTGCTTCAGTTCCATCAGTTGAGCAAATTACATGAACCGGGAAACAACTAAAATGTCTTCCTTGCTCTTTATTTTTGTAGTTTGTAGAAACAGACAAATTGCATAAACTAAGACTTAGGTAAAATTGTATTGTAATTTAGATTTTTTTTATTTATTCCATATTATGATTGAAAAGCAAATGCATATTAAGAAAATGTGAAGCACATTAATTATTTTGTAATTGATTTAAATAAAACTGTTATGGAATTTTTTAACTACATATGGGAAGTGGTGGTGGTGGTCAGAAAATGTATATTTTTTATGTTAAGTTTGAAACAATATGATTTTTTGATTGCCCATGTTTGATATATTTGAATTTTGTTGTGCACTTTTTCTGTAAAACATATTTGTGGCACCTTACATGGTTGTAATTTAGGTTAATTAAGATGTACCTAGTGGGTTCATATGTATAGTAAAGCCATAAAGTCATTAAAGCTGTAATTTCCAAATTTTCTATGTGGCATGACATGAGTGATGGCAAACTGCAACCATTATTTTCCCTCCGGTGGAATATATTTGTAAATTATTTTTCATTATGTACATTTCTGGAGAAGTTGAAAAGTCTTGCTGAGTTGTATGTAAGAATTTGCAAAGTAGTCAGTAATTTGTACATATTATTAAATTATTCAATTAAATACATAATTCTATTTCGATATTTGTAAATGAATGTTTTCTCATATTGTCTCTTGTTTCATTGTGTTCAGCGCTGGACAATTTAAAGCCAAAATATACCAATGAAAAGATTTCTTGCTATGCAACACAGCAATGCTAAACTGGCAAATTACATAATGGCACTTTCCAAATACACCGGGAATAAATTCAGTCGAATATAATATTTGCAGCTGTTGAGATTGTGCATAGGGGCACATTAAACATTCTTTTATCATACTCAGTGATAAAAAAATTATATATATCATACTAAGGATGATAAACCTTTAAATTACATCTTTTATCTGTTAAACTTTGAATGCTGCATGTTCATGCTGTTCCAAAAGAGCTTTGATTTAAGAGCGATTATGACAAAACTGATAGGATACTGGTATGTATTTCTATAAAACAAAGTGTGTTGTTACACTTCATGCCATTTCTGGTAGTAAAAACACTAGCTCACTTTTAAGACATGATTACATCAAAATATTGTTCTTAGGGGAGACGTGGTAAATTAAAACGAACAAACTTCAAATTAGGAATTAGGACTAACAGCACCGCAGAGCCAATCAAATACTTTTTTAGTTGTAAACAGAAACGCAGAACCAATCATGACACACGTCTGAATTTCACCTATTGCTATTGGTCAGATTAAACATGCGGAGCTGACGTTCCTATCGCGCGGGTCTGTCAAACGATATCTGGCAATTTCTAATTTTTTCCCCGGACAGGCTGACATTTCTGCGTATGATGACAGTATTTCTTTACGTTAGCCTCTAGGTTTAACAATTTCGCTGCGAACTACTGTCCTTCGTATTATTTGGGCTTGTTATCAGAATCTTAAGCGTTACGTGACGTTTGTAAATTGGATTAGCTCTAAATTAAGCCAGTGTTGAATGGTGTAGTAGCCGATTTGCTAGCTAGCAGTTTGAACTGAAGACTAGAGCATTGACACGTTGAACGTTTTCATGCTGATTTATTAGCCTAATTTACAATTGTACTTTGTAGCTGTCCGACTTGGTCAAGGAATGAACGCTAAAGCTATTCACTTGAAAATTACGTATGACTAAGTCTCTGATCGTTTACGTTCAGGGCAATCAGAAGCAAACAGCTGACGCAGAAATTACTCGGTTAACATGGATAGTTATAGCCAGCGATTTGAATCCACAACAGGGCGAGACGGTAAACCTCAAAAGAAGAAAGGTATCTCTTACCACAGCACTTCGTGCAACGATGAAGGAGACCGCAAACCCAAATTTGTAAGTATGAAACATTGACCACTAATGTGTACTTTAGGCCAGCAGTACAATCTTCATGGCATAGGTTACTTATAAATTGGTGAAATACACATGGTAGCCACTAATAAAGGTAATGTTTTCTTATTGTTCTTGTTGGGCCTACAACACACAAGCAAACACACGTGGAAATAAAAAGGGCGTTTAGGCTAAACCCAATAAGAAAGTTACAGCTTATTTGCAAGAGCTTGCATATGAGTTGTGTATTTGTCACTTTTATGTTTGATAACAAACTGCTCATTATGTGGCAGTGTGTCAGTTAATTAAGGATAACACTAATGAGTCATTTCAAATCCTCCCATGCACTTCTTCAATACATTTGGAACAGGTAAATGAGGAGACTTCTGTAACCTGCTTTTCATAGGAATTTGTCATTGTTTATATTTTGTTTTTTTATCAAGCAATGCGAAATAGTCTTGCCTAACAAATTCCACAATTAAGAAGAAGTTTTTCACAATGCATTCTTTGTATTTTACCCTAAACACAGTGACCTTGAGTGTTTTGTTTTTTAACTTTGTTTTGCATCTAGGGACCCAAACAGTTAAAATTAGTACTGGGTTAAGCTAACACTAATCCATGTGTTTCCTGCTACTACAGACATATCAAGGTTCTGTCTGCCTTCTTCATCTCTCTGGCAGAGATATGTTATAATATAACTGTCTTGATGAATCAATGTGATCGCAGAGATTCTCAGCATGAGGCCTCATTTAAAAAAGGTTGACGCAGAATTTGTGTCTTGGTGAAGCCTTAAAACAAGCACCAATTCCAAACATTGGAGTGTGTTTCTTACAGATCTCCTTAAAAGCTCTTTAGTTCTAGTGATCTGAACTTGTGAAACAATTCAGTTACCCTTTGGCAATCCTCAGAGATCATAGTCCTCAAGTCAAGTGCAGATTTGTAGATAGATAGAAATATTACATGTAAAATAGGCTGGACTCGGTATTTCTTATCAACGTTTTTCTCAGGTTTTGTCATTGTCATTTACCTGAACAGAAAATGTTTGCAAATGCTTGAAAATAAAATTGAATATGAGAATGTAATGACATCAACTACAGATTTTTTTGGTTTATATCCTAATGTTACTCTTTTTTGCTCCCCACCTATAGCACTTGCCTTTTAAAAACATCACAGATGATGTGGTAAGGTTTGAGAATTGGGTATTTTGTCTTGTTTGTCTCTGCCTAACATCACCGCATTTTACAACAACTAATCTGCTCCTTTCTTGTATTAAGGAAAGTTTCTTTATTGCAATAAATGAAATTTATCTCAGTATAGAAAACAAACTGCTTTTCTAACTAACCAAACATTCTGCAGAGCATGTGTCTAGTTGAAGTTCTGAGTTAAGTTTGTTTAGACAGTTCACTATTTACTTCGCTGTTGATATAAACGGTGGAGAATGGACGGATGGATGAGTGGATATATTTATTATGTTCACCATATCTTGAATATTATTAATCTCAGTTTGAAACTGACGGTTGTTCATGTTTGTTGTTTTTTCTCTCTTTTCTCTACAGCTGGACAGATTTGCCAGTATTCGGATCCCAGGCAGCAAAAAGGAGCGGCCCCCCCTAACACAATCCAAACACAACTCAAATGACTGGGCCAATTCTTCATCATCCACCCTGAATCATTTTGAGGAGCTTTCATCAAAGATCACCTCTGAAAAGGAAATCTTGGCTTTGTTTGAAAAGATGATGGTATGTTATTCAATATAACAACTAAACCTCTGTTTAACATAAACGGGTTTGCTTTACATGATCAGCTCAAGGTAACCAGCGTCCTAAATTATGGAGACATTGATATACTGGAAAACAACAAACATATACATCATATTTAGAAAATCCTTTTTCTAATCAGGCTTGAATGACTCATTTGACTAAAAAACAGAAAGTAACATTGGCCCTATCCTTTGGCGTTGACAGCCTGCTGTTTTTTTCCATACTTAACATGGAGAAAAAATGTGAACAAACAGCCTGTTTTTGATGTTCTGTTTCTGATGTTTAGTCTTTGGGATTTCTTCTATGGCTTTGAGGTACATCTGCAGTCAGTTTCATTATGCAGCTTGAGCTCTTCCTCCATAGTGGTGAAAAACTAGTCTTTAGTTGTCTATATTGGGTGTGTTCCCTGTCATTGACATCCTAATCGAGGACAGTTTTATCCAACTTCAAAAATTGGCTTGAACACCCACAGACATGTAATGAGTCATAATTCTTTCCTCACATGATGGGTTTTTCTGAATCATTCTGACATACTTATGCCAAAGAGCCCCCGGATGGACATCTCCAGTCTCACTGACCATTTTTAAGGCATGCAGTGAACCACTCACACCACTATCCTGACTCTCCTGCACTGTCTGCCTCTTTTGAGATTGGTAGTAGTCAATAAATCCTGAAGCACATTTATACAAAATGACCGAGCTTACAGTAAAAAAGCCAAAGAGCAGTTTGGTTTGATACACTGGGTGTTCATCCTACATAATCTTCCAGCTAAATAGTATAACAACTTTATAATAACTCATAATAGCTTGTGAATCTATACAAATTGTAAAACAAATCCCTTTGTATAAGTAGTTTCCCATTGTGTCGGGGAACACGTTTCTTGTCTTAAGTTCTGCCTCTTCCTCTGACTCTTCGGCTGTCTTGCTCATTCGGCTGTTGCAGTCAGCTACACGCCTTTGATCTGACATTATCAGACACCAAACTCTGATGACCATTGCTAAAGGACAGCTGTTTTTGGTGATTATGACAGATGGCATTCATCATCTCTAAACATGGGATGTTCCAAAGATTTCCTGGACCGATGAGCACACAAACGCCCCTAACATTCACTGTGGGCATTTGTGAATATTTACCCCTCAGCTGTCAGGTGCAGGCCGCAGGACATCACAAAGGCAGACAATGTTTGAAAGTGTCAGCAAAGCTAATGCTACTATGGTTTGAGTGTTCTGGTGAAAGATTATGCTCTTATGCTTACTTGAATGCTGCTTTCATCTTGCTCGTCCACCCCCCTTATCCGTATTCTCAATGTGTTGTAAAGAAAACAGCGCTTCAACAGCATAATCTTAGTATCTGACTCCCTCCCTCCCTCCCTCCCTCTGTCGCTCACATATCTAGCTGGGAGAGCACATTTCCATCCGAACGCCTCCTGCTGTGATTTGCATGTGCGAACAGAAACTGCAAAAAAGTCTGGACCAAACTGTCTGCACATGCTCATGAAAGTCTCAGCTATTCACGCGTGAGAAATGGCTCCTATGGTTATGGAGTCGGTGCGATGCTAATGTCCTTTTAACGGTTGGTTTTGGGCCACTTTTTGAGACTTTGGGACTTCCGACCCGCTCTCGGCACAGATGTTCCGGCGGACTTTTACGACCGTTTGGTTTTGGCGCCGCGTCTTTGCCCGCCCCGCCTGCATCTTAAACCCCGCTGTTTTTGTGCCGGACTGTCTCAGAAGCTGCTTTGCACAGCCTGTGCCCGGGGTTCCTTTCTGGTTTGGTAGACCCCAGTCTCATTTGTTTTTAAAGTAATGTGATTGATGACTGTACTACTGTATATCAGAAAACCCCTTTTATAGCCACTTTCAGGATTTCTTAACATCTGCCACTTCTTCGATGTGGGTGTGGTACACGCTGTGCTGCTGAGGCCCATCCTTCTAAGATGGTTCCTCCACTTCATCACTGGATCCCATGTTCCTGATGTAGTCTTTGATCTTTGATGTTTCCTGCTGGATGGTAGCTCTGATGCTCATTTCCTCTCCTCCCGCCTCCCTCTTTCTTCTTGGAGAATAATCTCAGAGTTCTGGTAATGACCAAAAACCCTCTGTTCATTGTAAGGGGCTATCTTGTCCTAAGCAGTGATGAGGACAACAGTGATTTTATCCCCTCCTGGTGAGGTGTATCAGCAGTCCTGGGATGCTGGTTGATGTTGCCCATGCAGAGTTGTTTGGCTAATGTTTGTTCCCCTTTGAAACAGATAACCATGCCCTCTCTTTGAGCTAATGTGGCTAAGGGGGTTCAGACTTCTGCTTACCAGCAGATCATCAAACTCTTTCACATGATTAAAATATCCTGTATTCCAAATATGTGAATTTATATTGCAGATCAATGTAATTCTTTTGGGTAGTGGTGGCATTTTTTAATGACCCTATTCTTCCATTTTCCTTTTCAGGAGGACATGAATTTGAATGAGGACAAAAAGACTCCTTTGAGGGAAAAGGACCTTAATACAAAGCGAGAGATGGTTATTCAGTATATTTTTACTGCCTCAAAAACCGTGAGTATTTTCAAAATCTGTATATTTATGTTTAGCCTCGTTTTAAATGGTACTTTTGGCTATTTCATGCCAATGTTTTTGTTTTTCAGACTTTACCTTTGATTTACCATTGACACATGGGATTTTTATAGCATTGGAAATAATGCCAAGTTGTCAAAAACCTAAAGTGGCAACCTGGAATAGATTTAGAAAGAAAGTGCATTGTGACCTGTCATCTCTTTCACTGTTTTTTTTTTTTTTTAACAACTGGTGGGAAACGTTTTCAAAATCTTGCAAATCTTTGTGGAAGAAAGACTTTCAATAGGTTTCTGTGCTCAGTGGAGTTATCTTTTTTCTTTTTTTTTTAGCCCTTTCCAAATGGTTATCAAAACAAATTTCTCTGTCAGGTCACAGCTCCTCCAAACGGGAGCTGCTCATGCTGTGCGAGAGTACAGCACATCCCAATTTAGTTTATTCAGTTTCATTTGTAACAGTTTCCTATCAATTGATTTGTCCGTTTAGGTTTGTTTATGATTTTCTGGATCTTCAGACACTTCAAGTACTTTTTCCCCCTCCCAAAGCGGCTGCAGCACAACACAAGGGACAAACTTTTTTTTTCTACTGCTTTATTCTCTTTAACTGGAACAAAAATGATTTGTTACAGTTTGTTAAAGTTTTCAAATTGTGATGCAGGTGTGTCGTAAACAGGACACCGTGAAATGCTGACAGTAAAAGAAATGAGTTATTTTCTCTCAAAGCTTTGAAATTTAAAGTTTTAAAATTTTAATGAATGCTGAGGAAATCAATAAGTAGACTTCTGCTGTGGGCATGAGCTACAGGGCCAGGATTTATTTATGTAACAGCAGCCACCTGCTTTAGACTCTGTTTTCCTGCCAAATTTTTGTTCCAGCTCACTTGGTTTATCTATCAATATATTTAATATCTATAAACCCAGACAATTATTATAACAACAAAATAGTTTATTGTTTTTTAGATTACAAACTTTCATTACTTTCAGCAAATGACTGATCTGCTTGTGTCCACCCTGAAGATTATAGGACTCATTTTCTTGCTTGTTGGCTTTGTTAAATTTATTTTACATAAAAATAACGGTCTTTATTGACTTTCTGAATATGTATTAAATAATTTTTCTACAATGTTAAAAAAAACAACGTGGCAAACTTTGTTTAACAGCAGCTTTACTGTCTGATCGAACCTAGCTCTCATAAATTCAAACATCTTAATTTTAATTATGGCTTTTTTTAAGGAAGCTTTAAGACATTTTGCATTTTTTGGTCACCCTTAAAGTGACTTAAAGGACTGCTTGAAAGGATGCAAAAAGGGGGCACTGATTTAAAAAATATATATATATATGTATAATTTTTTTTAGCTGCCAGAAATATCTAAATATTTTTTGTCTCTAAGCTGACATATAGCTTTAGTGTCTTAATTAAATAATTTTTGTTGGACATTCCAAATTGCCCTTAGAAGTGAATGTGAGTGAGTGTGCGTGGTTGTTTGTCCTTGTATGTCTTTGTATGTGTGGCCCTGCGATGGACTGACGGACTGTCCAGGGTGTACCCCGTCTCTGGCCTATTGACCACTGGGATAGGCTCCAGTTTTCCCTGCATGAGGGGATTCTGGAACCAACCTGAGATTCAGAAGAAAGTGGTTTAACTGGTTTTGATTTCCGATGCAAAAGACAAGAGTGAGGAGAAGATCTTTTCAATTTCATTCAGTCTTAATTAGTTTCAGCAAGCTGTCTAGTGGTAGCAGGAATATCTATAGGTGTTAATAAGAACTTGTGGGCCATCTGACATTGCCGAGACCACGTGATTCACTAGATTTCCCATAATATATTAGTGTGAAAAGAAAAAGAACCTTCTTGTTAATTCAACATTAATTTCATGTTTATTATTGCATTTCTTTGTATCTAATAGAAGGTTCCATTCTAACATGACCTTAAAAAGGATGAGAGCATGAAATGGCAGCAGGAGATGTTTGTGTTTCACTCCCTGTGGGAATAGTTGGTGTGTCAGCTGTCTTTCTTTTCTAATACCTCACAGCTTTGATGGGGACAGAACAAGGGGCCTGCCTGCTAATAAGAGATCTTTCTCATGGGAAGCTGTTTGTTGAGAAGGGAAGAAATGGCATTACCCATTAGTCAGGCCAAGTGGTCCCACTAACAACACAAACTTATACCAACAAAAGGAGCCAACACATAAAACTTGCCAAAACATCTTGCCCACGGACATGCCAACGAAAAAAAAAGAATCACATCAGAGGATTTGATTCATGGCTTCATTACTTGGTGACAGTTTCCTGGAACCGCATACAAACTGGAGTAATCTGTTTTTTTCCTTTTAGAAATGTTTTTAAATTACATTTAAAAATTTGTTTTTTTATGAGCAAACTTCTTTCACTGTTGCATGGACCAGTTCATAATTGTTCGACCCGGTTGTAGATTTGCACCTGAACAAGCTTGTGGAGGGAGGATTTCCAGACATGTTTTGGAATAGAATATGGCCAGAGTTCAACAGTTTGACTTGATTTAACCAACTATCAACACAAACGCTAATGGCAAACACAGCTCCTCTCAAGAAAGATTTGGTTTTTCATGTCATGCCTGCTTCCTGCACAAAATATGAAAATATAAAGTTCCTAATATAAAGTTTAGCTAGTATTCTGAAAGAGCATTGGTTTGGAACTTTGATAAAATTAACTGTTTTGAAGGCTGGTACATAAGCTTTATTATGCCTGAACTTATTGTTGTTCTCAAACTTACTGTCAGTTTCCACTTTTTAAGAGTTTCTTCTTCCTTTCTTCTTTCCAGGGTAGCCTGAGAAACAGCCATCAGATATCTCCCCAGGAATTTCTTAGTGAGTTGAAGTCTGGGGTTATGGATGAACGTCTCTTTGCCTGCCTGGACTCATTACGAGTGTCTCTCACCAGCAATCCTGTCAGGTACGGTCCAAAATCACCTTCTATTACAACTGCATGGATTTACTCGTTTTATTACAAGAGAACTTAGAACTTGGATCTGTTTATTATTAAACGTGAAAACCGTTGTCTTCAGGGGTACAGGATCTATCCTCTTTCTCTGGGGTTGGACTCAAATGAAGGCCATTTCACAATTTTGTTATTGTTTTTTTATGTTTAATATTTTTTGTTATTTAGTAGTTGGTCAGTAGTTTTTAATGGACAATAAACGTAGTAACTGATGGCAGGACAAATGCAGACTGTGTTTTCCAATCTAAAACAAGTAAAAATGAAAAAACAATCAAATTCCTGATGCCATGTCTGTAAACTTTTGTTTACTTTGGTGTCTAGTCTTCCAAGCCTGGTCCACATTTATTATTTCTTTTGGTAGTGAAATCTTTCAGCTGTGGTTTTCACGTCTAAATGGCCGTTTGGATGAACATTTTAGTTTGATGCTGTTGTTGACTATTTATTTACTATCTTTTAAAATAGTTTTTTTAAAAACATTTAAAAAAAAAAAGGATTTTAGATTGCTTGTCATCGCCAGCATATCTGTAAGGTCAGGTCTCCTGTTAAGCACGCCTGATGAATGCAAAGAGGGTTAAAAGATAAACTGCGTGGTCGTGCTTAAGTTTGCGGTGCAGTGCCTCCACTTTAGAGAATATCAAAATAGGGTTTAACCTGCTCGCAGGTCCATGGTCCTTCAGTTGGTCCTGCTTTGAATTTTAATGTTTGAAAAATGACATGATAATGGATGAAGTGTACCCCTAAAGGTTGTGACTGTGAACAATGGAAAGGACGCATAACCTTTAATCGCCTATTGCTTTTGAAGTGTTGTTTGTTTATTTATGTCAGCTGGATTCTTTATAAGATTTCATACCCAGATGTTTGATACAAAAATTATAGCTGACTGTCTTTTAGATAATTTTGGTCTAAAGTAGATCATACCAACTCTTGCTTGTCCGGTTTCTTTGCTTTCTGTGCCATTTTATTTTGCTCGGTTATAGAACCCCTTTGTACGTAATGTACAATATAACGGGGTGTAATTTTATCATATTTGTTTGCTCGACAGAGACACACAGTATTTTGCCTGCAGCTGCAGTATGTATTGTTTTCTCATTTTCAAAGATTTGCCATTGTGTGTTTAGACCCGGATCGATTCAGCCGCTCTACACACCATCTGTTAAAGTCTCCCCTCTTTTCTGTGTAGCAGTAATTTCGGTAAAAGTGACTGTTGTTAAGGAAAATGTGGCTGGTAGGCAGTGATGTTTGATTTGAGCACCACTGATCAAACAGAATGTCTGCCTTACGTTTAATGACACGGTATGGACTGGGTCATAAATCTGACTTGGCTAAAAACAGTGACTCTGGAGCAGAAACCCAGTAGCTATCCAATAGCACCATTAAAATCCTCAGTCACTAGATTGACTTGGATATAAAAGCTTTTTGTCTACCACTGATTTTGGATGCCGATCAGATTCACTTTCATGGCAACGGTACAATCAATTCTCACACATTCCCCTCGATATAATGTTTGCGCCCTGCATACTTTAGAGCGGCAGACTACGATTTGGCTGTATGGGGCGCTCAGGAGGAAGAGCAGTCGTCTGCCAATCAGAGGGTGGGTAGTTTGAGTCACAGCTTCCCTTGGCTATACACTGAAGCACATTTGCAAGGTTTTGCCAGAGGCACACTGCCTACTGATACGTCGATAGTGTATAATGGAGAGGAAAAAAAAGCCCGGTGTGTCATGAGAAGAAAAAAAAAGAGCGACTAAGACAGACTGTATGACTTTGTGTCAAAGTTCTTTGACTAGTCAGCTAAACTTGAAAAGTGCTATGCAAGTACTGTCCATTCGCTGTTTACTCATTTATTGTTTAGGAGCGTCACAGTGTGATGCTTGTCTCCGACTTCTATAGGCTCTACGTCATCTGCTCCGGCTCTCTGTCACTTTCCATGAAGAATGGCCACAGCATTAGCCTGTAGGAGCAGCAAGGCTACAAGTTGTAATTGAATTAAATGGTTTGATAAATGGATCTGACAGAGAAGTGGAAATTGGTTTTTGATGTTGTATTAAAACTGACCTTCATGTTAAAAGATTTCGATTTATTTATTTTCAGTTTAGCTACACTGCAAGGTAAACGTCCCCTAACTGTAAGGTACAGCACCCAGAAAGTTCATCTTGGATGTACTTACTGTTTCATCCACTCATAAACTGCACATGAAGATTCATGAAAGCAATCTTATTTGATAATATATTTATATATTTTTTAAACATTTACTCCTGAATGTCAGTTTTCTCTTACAAAGTCATTCATGTTACCAGTGTTCTTCTCAGACATGTGTACCTGAAAAAAGTAATGGTGTTCCAAGTTAGGCCGATGAAAATTTAATTCATAATAGGTTGTATCTTTATACTGATTAAAAAAAAAAAGGAAATGGAATCGTTTTTTCACACAGGGGATTTCCACAAGTGAGTATAATCATGATTTACAATAAAAAGCAGGATCAGTGATCAACAGACGGTGTATAGAAAGCAAAGATTGGGCAGGGGATTTCTTGTGCGTAAATGCGAAGGGAAACAAAATCCCATGTGAATAAAAAGCTTGAATTCAAGTGTTTTGCAGGGATTTGAATATTCCTGAAATCTACTGTGCATGACATCATTAAACTGATAAAGGAATCAAAATGATTTTCATCCCGTAAAGGGCAAGGGCGACTGGCTCTGCCTCTGATGGACCCCCGAATAAAGGACGCCAGGTCCCGATGTGGCTTTGCATCAGCTACTGGTGAAGGCAGCTTTACCAATAGCTGATGTCACCACACAGGCACGGAGTAACATTCACAGATGTCACTTTAAACTTTACAAAGCAAATGGAAACCTTACTTTGGTGTGCTTTGTTCGTCTGGGAAACCTTATGAAGGATCTCCTGAGATTCTGTTTGAACTCAAGTTACTTCAAGTGTGAAGTTAGCTGGGAAAGGAACTCAGTTCTCACTTTGATTCATGACAGTTTTTGTTTCTCAGGGACCGGTTCGATCTATTTGAGTGGGGTTTTTATACCATGCTACTTCCTTTTGTCATTGTGAGATTATACAGCTGTGATTACACTCTTGCTCTTATCTCACAAAGATAATTGCACCTCACTGCAACCTTTTTTTTCTTTAAATAAGAATAGTCCAATATCATCTATATCCCGGGAGTGTGAGGCTGATGTGTAATGCAGTGTTTATCCCCCCCCCCAAAAAAAAGTACATTTTGTAATCGCAACTAGATGCAAATTACTGTTAGAAAAGATGTGTCTTTTTGAATGTGAACTGTTAATATCAACCAGATGCAAGTCCTCTGGTGTTTCACTTCTCTGAGAAATTTCTAAAGCTGTTTTGTGATAAGCTTTGCTCAGCAGGGCTCCTGAGTGAAGACGCTAAGGCAGAGCATGTAATTGAAGCTCTCTCATTGGGGATGTAGGTGGGGTGCCAGATGTTAGAAACTAATGAAACCCAAGGGCTGCCAGAGTATGCCAGATTAGAAAGCTGAATATAAAACACTTTAGTCGTTCAGACAGACTGCATATCAAATACAAACCACTTAACGGCGTGAGGATAAATAGACAGGGAGATATTACGCTGATTTGATGTTATTATAAGCTGAAATTGGTCAATCCAAACTAATTTTGTCAGGCTGAGTTTTTTGTCTATGGCAATGTTAGATGGGAGTCAATCCGTTGGAATAATTACCAAAATGACATTCTTGCAGCGTATGGATATTGTTATAATTTTTACCGCATAAAGATATAACAATAGATAAATATTGTGCACTCCATGGGTTGCTATGTCAGCCCAGCTTTATTAGCCCTGTCCCAAACCTTTCTGACCTTTCATAAAGAAAGAGCAGACACACTCCTTATATCAGTGTTTGACTCAAGATTCCAGAAGCTATTACATCTGTCACTTTCTGGCCTCTGAGATCATCAAAATGTCTGAATGCTTAAAACTTCAAGAAGCTTTTGAAAGCAGATTTGTCACCTCTATCCTCTCTGCTTTTCTGAAATGTGTTTCAAGGCAAATTCAGAATTTATTGCCGTGGACCCTGATAGTGTTAGGGTTGTTGGTTTCCTCAGCAATACTTTCTTTCATACATCACTCGCTTATTTCCTTTTTACTCTTTGCTTCACATATTGACGATGAGAGACAAACATGCAGTTGCCGCGGAGCTATGCATTTCAATGAAGCTCTTGTCAAGACCCAGCCTACTCCATAACCCGAATGGCCTGGGCCGTGGCCCATTCTGAAGTGTAGGCTAAATGGATTTCTTTTTTCCCTTGAACATGAGAGCCTCATCCCTCAGTTTCTCTGGCAGCAGCTTTTGCTTTCTTCATCATCAAGGCCATGACAGTTTTTGTCAGCCTCACTCTTTATTGACCCTGTCACACACTGCCGTTCGTACCCCGGTGGTAGCGAAGCCTAAGCTCGGCATATTTATGCAGCTTATAAAGAAGGAAATCTCCATGTGGTCTGAAATCAGAATTAAAGACGGCAACTGAGAGTTGAATACCATTTCTTAGTCTTTACTTTTCGGCCAGGAGGGCATTTTTAGAATGGCGTTGGTTTGTGAAATGGATGTTTATGTTCACCCCTAAATCATCTGCATCTGTCAGAGTACTGTCTTGCATCTGTTACAGCTCCGAAATGTGAATTGTCATTCTTTCCTAGACACCACAGAGAGATAATCTCCTGGGCACTCACAACCAATACTCCTTTTCAAGAAATTAAATTCAGATAACATCTTCCCATTTTATCTTGTCACCTTGAGAATTGCTGTGGTTTCGATGCTGGAAGGCATGCAGCTTGTTGATTGGAGCAGCAACAGTGAATACTAATGTACTAATGTGCATAGATGGTAGTCAGGGTTCCATTACGGAGGCGCAGGTGCTAAAAATGCCACTCATGCTGTGTTTGTGCCTGTTTTATGCATATCTAAAAGTTTTTTTTTTTTCCTAACCACCCAGTCTAATATGTTTGTGTTTCCCTTTCTCGTTAAAAGTAATTTGCACTTTCGGCACCCAACCTCCCTCTTGTCAGTCTAGTCTGAAATCCTTTGATCTCTTGCATAAATTTAGTTGATAATGAGGAAAAAAAAAAACTAACATAAAGTTTGGTTTGCATTTTTTTTTGTCTAATCTGGATGTTGGAAGATGGGTGAACATCTCTATTTAGAAGATTTTTTTGTTTTCTACTTTATTGTAAAAAATTTCAGAATGCTTATATTCATAAGGATTGAAAACTCAGACTGTTCAGGCTCATTAGGGTCTCTTTTGAAAGATTTGGTTTGTAGAGTATATTACAATTAATTCTGAAAGAAGTTGACATCAATTAAATTGGTGTATTTTCTCTTGGAAATGTCTTTTTATCAGCCAATATTTCATGTTTTGACGAGCTCTCTTGTCGAGTGGGATCCGGATAAGACAACTTGTTCTATAGTTTCATTCTCTTTTGTCGACCCTCTTAGCCTCCCCAGTTTCATTGACTCCTTGGCTGGATGGAGAGAACTGTGCCCTTTAAAAGGAAAAATAAATCTATACCAGATGTTAGTTCTAAGCTTTCTATATTACTCTTTAATCAAAGAAACAGTCAGCAGAATCCACTAAAGGCACCTTTTCCATAAGATACTCACATGAAGAAAGGAGGAAAAGTCGATGTTCATGAAGCTTTTTTTATGAACTTGCACAACCTTTTTGGAGAAAATCAGTGCACAAATGTCACTTGCTTTAAAAGTAACCTCCATGACAGCCAAATTCTAGACATTCCTCTTCTTTCAGGCTTGTGCTGAATATATATATATATATAAGATAAAGATAAGATAAAACATAAAAAAAAATTATACTTAAAATGTTAAAACACATGTCAATCAAAGTAAAATACCGTGCCATGTGGGGAAAATGCAGATAGAGACATTTTTGCTCTAGCTAGTCTTTTAATGTGAAATTTGTTAGGCACAGAAACTGCATTCGTAATGATGGTGATGATCTCAAGTCTGGAATGTTAGTCTTACATAAAGGGTGTAAAACTTTGTGAAGATCTGAAGATTTGCCTCTGTGTCAAAGATGACTGCTTCTTCATGTTGCTTTTTTTTATGCATCAAATCCATGGTGTATATATGGTATTCTATAACTTTTTTTCGAAATGTGGTAAGAGGTCCATTTTTTACTCCTATTACATTCAACCACACTGCCTAGTATTGAATTCTACAGTTTTTTATTTTCATTTTGTATAGATTATTTGGGTCCAGGAGCTTTACGTGGTGGTTCAGTATGAAACTGTTTTTGTCAGCTACCTGTCCAGCACTGTTTGAGTATTGATTTGATGTTTGTTTCTTCAGTTGGGTGCAGAGCTTTGGGCATGAGGGCCTGGGACTGCTGCTGGACATTTTGGAAAGGTTGCTTTTCAAAAAACAGTAAGTTTGTACATTCACTCGAGTACTCCAGTGCAAACCTCTTCCCTTACTCCTCTATAACTCTTTGTCTGATGAGATCAGTTTGATCAAGGCAATCAATATTGTGTTGTTCTGGTAGTGTTTGTAAATCATTTTAACCCTAATACAAAAAATGACAGAATAATCAAAATTAGCTAATAAAGTTGCAGGTGTATTTGCTTTGTGGTTCAGCTAATGCCTTTTATTTCTGTCTTAGTTTAAGAACTCTATAATAATTTGTTCATTGTTGGTGTTATGTAGTTTTTCTGCTGTGTAGACCAACTGTTTTCCATCACTGTTTGTCGATAGGCAAGAGAAGATTGATAAAAGGAACCAACATAAAGTGGTCCAGTGTCTCAAAGCCTCCATGAATAATAAGGTAATGACATTTTTTTCCCCCTGGAGATAAAATTCAATATTTATGGCAATATATTTTGGCTCTGCAGTGAGCAGCTCAATGACATGCCTCCTCTGAATAAATGCTATCGCAACCATCGGAGCCAATGGTGGTTTCAGTGTGTTTTTGATAAATTACATTTGTCTCTCAGAAGTAATCTGTATGTTGTTGTTTTGGGATATGAACTACAACAAGGAGACCCCAAAGTCCAGGTTTATTTGACACACATCTGCTGTTTTTATGTATTTTGGAAGCAGGGATTTTATTAAAGGCTTTTCAGCAGTGGAGCTGAAAAAATCTTTGGGAAAAGACATTGCCAAATCCTGAAAAGGCAAAGGTGTGACCTGTCTTTCTCTGCCTTTTGCTGGTTTGTTCAGCTGAGGCATTATTGGCGTTAGAAGGCTCAGTCACACTCATACTGACAGTCCCCTTCTTGGTCTTGAACCGTGGAAGGTGACAGTAAGTATGTATACATCACACCACAAAAACATAATTATCGTGTACGTTTTCGCAAATGGAAAATCGAGCCTCAGAACTGTAGACTAATGTACAGATGATACACGCCATGACACCACGTCTGTGTGTAGACACATTGTACATGCTCCAAAGTTGAATTATTTTACATCTCACTCAGAAAAACAATCAAGAAGTTTAGAAATTTGAAAAGGGAAAAGCGTGTGAGGGTTAATTTCCCTCAAAAAATATCTTGGGTATTTCAGTGTTAATCTTGTTGGCTAATTTTGTCATAGATTGTGACTGATTTGCATTGTCAACACATGAATGCTGAAAATGTTTCCAGACTATGGCTCTGCTCCAAGACTATCCTGATTTACATTTTCTCATGCAGCCCCCAGCTTTGAGACATCTGTGACATCAGACATGCTTCTGTCGATAACTCCATTCCTCTTCATGTACATTTCTACAAAGAGGGGGGGTATTTTGCTAGTCGACCTGTAACTGATATAACTGTGTTAAATGCATTATAACTTTGTAAGCAAAAGATCTTTCTTTTGAAGTTTATCAAATTCTGGAAAGTCATCAAGTTGCTAATATTTTAAGAGGATCAAAATACTTTTTGTTTTAGGTTTATACATTTGTGCTCATTTGTGCCCATTCATAGGCAGGGATATAAAAGGCAAAAGATATTTACTTATTCAACAGTTTTACTGCCAAACAAAATGGCAATCATAACAGTTTTTTGTCCATAGCCGTGCATATCGGCCCACGGTTTCACGATCGGTACATCCCTGGTTTAAAATACGATTACACCCTCCACAGTCAACAGGCTTTATTCAGAGTCACTTCCCAGAGATTAGTTTCTCCGTCAAGAGCAGGTAAAGCTGTTCCCTTAGGAGAGGCTTGCCATAGAACCTTATAATGTCTCAAAAAGGTCTTCAGTAGAAGGTGAAACTCTATGCTCTATACAGCCAAATAAGCTCTTAGTTCCTCAGTGCTGAATCTGACACAGTTCCTGTGACTTTGTTTTCTTGTGCTATCTGAACTATTTGCTCCATGCAGAATGGGAAGCAGACATTTAGAATTACAGAGGACCCTTTTACACAAATTATTTCTTTAATATGCACGGGAATATTTCAATCATGTAGATGCTTATCTTAAGTAAATGAATTTCCTCAGATGAATGATCCTTTGTAGCTCCCTCTTTTTAATATTAGTGACATGAGTTTTCAACTTTTCCAAAACTTCCCCAGCTAATTTCTTTTTAACATTTTTGTGTGACTTGTTCAATTAAGAAAGCAGAGTTAGATTAGCTATGAAACAGTGCCACCATTTTGAGATAAAGCGGTGCCACTTTATATGGACACTAAATAATAGTGACTTATTGCCCAGACTGGTCTAAGTACCATCTCAGTTATTCTGTTGAAGGTGTATTATTTCATAATGCTTTAGATTCTCATCAGTGGGTCTTATTAATACTCGAGTTGCTACAGAGGGGACCAAAAAAAAAGCCACATGGAATGAAAACCCAGAGGAGAGAGATATACAGCCCCTCTGGCACAATTGGGGCTGTAAGGTCTCGTGTAATCCTGCGTCTCAACAGACGCCAGACACCAGTATTTACCCGTAGGCCTCTCTGTCAGCCCAGACCTTTCTCTGGCTGGAGAGGCATCTTGGGACAGGAGGTACCTACTATGCCAAGAAGACAGGTGTTCGCTGCCAGCTGTCACTGCAGCCTTTTCTTCTTCTGCCTTCTTCTGTCGAGTCGCATTTCTGAATATTTTCTGGTGTCCGTCACAAATTACATGATAATGTCAGACACCGAAAGTCACCTCACTGTGAAATTGTCTGTCAAGCAACTGGTAGAATGTCTCAGAACCCAGCAAGTTTAACTTGAATAATCATTCATTCCTGATGTGTAAACCTTATCTACCATTGTGTCAGTACTGGGCATTTAATAGTGATAAAAAACTGATTAAATAGAAAAAAAAACCCCACAGTCAATCAATGAATACTGCAGAACTGGGTTAGCTTATTGCTTGTTGAAGTTTACATGGACAGACTTGCATTGTCAAAATAACAAACAATCATTCAACTGCTTTGTTGGACATTCGTTTCACAAACGCATCAATAGAAACTTTTGAAATAGTAAAAATGTGTAATTCACATCATAAGTATGATAAGCACCTCCTTTTTTGCTGTTAGAAAATATAGTCTTACTTAACTTATGATGTTAGGTGATTATCTGATATATTTCACTGAAAATTGGTTTCCCCAATTCACTGTTTATCAAAAACTTGTTTTGTTAACGAGCAATTGGGCAATTATTTTTGCTCTAATGTTCTTGTAAGATTAAGGGTTTATTCTCTGATGGCTTTAGTAAATTACATGCTGCAGAAAAAAAATATTAACAGTAAATACACAGCATCTCTGCTAGATGACCTTTCAGGTTATCATAATTTCCCGTTATAAGGCAATATGTTTCTGAACCAGGCCTCTGATTACCTATGCATATGTTGGCTAAAGCATGACAGACCAATAAAAATCCTGCTGAACTTAAACATGTCTTTGAGATTTTTTTTTCTTCCTGTGACATCATATTCTAGTTGTAAATTACAGCATTTACTGGCAATAATTACTTTTTTTTTTATTGCAGTATGGCTTGGATCGAATTCTGGGGGAGGAGAAAAGTCTTGCTTTATTGGCAAGAGCCATCGATCCCACTCAGTCTGCCATGATGACCGACGTGGTAAAGCTGCTGTCTGCCATCTGTATTGTCGGCGAGGAGAACACGTATGTCTTGTCATTCAATGAGCGCCACAAAGTCTGCCTCCTTAATGTCAGCAGCACATAATATTTTTACATTGTTATGAGAAAAAAAAAGAACTCCTCAGGCTTAAAAAACGATTGCCCACTGGATAAACTATTGTCTCTTTTGATTAAAGCACTTTGCACGGCCAACTATGGTACCTAATCAAACTCTGACCTTAAGATTAGGGAACATTATCCAGAGGATAAGGATACTTTTTTCTTTCAAAAAGAAAAACGAAATAATGGATGAATGTGCTAGGGGAGAGCTTTTTGTCAAAATCCCTTGAAATAGAGGTAGAAATATCTAAAGTCTCATTCATGGTTTTATACAGTTTGGAGAAGGTTCTTGAGGCCATCACCACAGCCGGGGAATGGAAAGCCACAGAGAGGTTCAGTCCCATTGTGCAAGGACTACGAGACCGGTCCGTTCAGTTACAAGTAAGTCACTTATTTTACGCCTCTTCTGGATCAGATTTGAATAATAAGTATTATAAGTCAACTACCTCCTCACAGTGACGGTGTTGAGGCAGATGTGTATTTTTTTTGTTTGTTTTTCCACTTTTTGTTTGAGGAATATCATGCATGTCTTTCACAGTTTGTGGGTTTTCGTAACAATCCAGATGCGAGTTATTACGCAGAGCTAATTGTTGTTTACAAGCAGACATTGCTGTCAATATTTTTAATTGATCTCTTCTGAACTCAGACTTTAAATATTGACAAAAGAAAAACGAAAGAGCTGTCAATTGCACCGGCAATGTCATTACACACATAAAAAAAATAAAAAGCCTCCTTATATAGATTTCCAGATTTCAAGCACCAGATGCTTCAATTAAGTGTACACTTCCACTTTAATAATTAGTTTGTGCACAGATGGTACTGGAAACTGGAAGAATGCCCATTAATTCATCTGCACTGTTTATTTTGACAAGACATCAACCTGATATCATCATCGTGATCAGACATATGTCAGACAGTGAGGGCAGAATAAATTAAATTCCATTCCTTTACATTTGAAGAAATGTCCCAATTACACGTATCGTAGTCACAAATAATATCTAACCAGCAAACGTAGTAAACGGGGCCCAAATCTGTTATTTCGATTTCTTTGTTTCTTTTCAGACCATACCCTTTTAGGGTCACTTTAATCTGTCCTTAGAATATACATACAAAACAAAATTTGCTAAATACGGAAAGTTTTTTTAACAATACAAACAACAAGAAAGATTTAAGTGTCATAATATCCTCTTTTTCTAACGAGACATTAGGAAGTCTCTTTCCTTTTTCCTCATGGTGTTCTTTAAACTGGTTGAGAAACTGAACTCAATTCCAATAACTTTGCTAAGGGAATGATATTATCTTCTAAATGGATGTTTTATTCATAATAGAACATATTGAATATATTAAATGTTGAGTATGTATTAATACCATAAGTGGAAATAAAAAGAGGACCTGAGAAGATAAGCCCAGGTTCAGCAATTTGTGGAAAAACACCCTTGTCTGCAAGTTTTGGAGCAGTTTCAAAGTAGTGTCCTTAAATTTGTAATTGCACAGACTCTGAATATTCTGTCATGTACAGGGCCCGCAGCCAGCACCACATTAAAACGGGCAGGACTGTTTCCTAGAAATGACTGCGTTTGCTCAGGAACACGACTAGAGATCCTTGTCTATGAGCAAAGATCACCATGGCATGCAATTAAGTTCCATCATGCAATTAAGAAGCTATTTATAAGTTTGATCCAGATATTCGGTCGTGCTCTCCGGGTCAAAGTGCATATGTGCTCTGTGTGGTTTGTATAGATGGAAAAATCCAGGTGCTGGACTGGCCTGTCTGCAATCCAGACCTCTTACCAACCAAAAACACTTGATACCCAGGCCTGTAAAGAAGCTTGAATCCCATAACAGACAAAGATGTGGCAGTATTTCTCTCCTAAAGGTTACACAGTTGCTGTCATAAGATGTTTAAAGACTGATTTGCAGTCTTTTCTTAGTTTTGTATTGTGGATCAAATATTTGTTTATAAAATTTGAAAAATGGTCTAGTTGTCTTTCTATACTATATATAACAATAACAATTATTTCAAAGTCCTGAAAAATAACTGGTTTTTTTTTTAATGCTTCTTTTAATATAACATTAAAACAGAATTTTCCTATGCCTGGGTGCCCTTAAAAAAAGGAGAAAAAAAGCATGTAATCCTTTTGAATGTTCCTTAGGGCCCCTAAATATTTCTCATCGTCATACCCCTTTTTTTCACACTCAAGTGATTTATCTATTTATTTATTCATTTTTGTTACTGGTCAATAATTGATTTTTCTGTTCAGGATGCAGCCGTCCCTGTGTAGTAAACCACACTCAGGGGGAGGCTGAAAAACAACACACAAAAGAGCAAGTTTGCCCTTAAATGACTGTTAGTTTTGTGTGCACGGCACTGCTGTTGTTGCATTAATATTAAAATCACCGCCCCCAGTTGGTAACTGGAGAAAATAGACATGCATTAGTTATGGTCCTCTGCTCCAAGGGACATAACTCATTTAAAATGTATGCAAGCATGGTTTTCATCAACTTCTGGAAAACGTCAACCATCCTCTCTTTCTTTGGTTTTTCTCTGTGTCTTTGTGATTTCGTGTTGCAGGTTGCATGCATGCAGCTCATCAATGCCCTGGTAACATCTCCTGATGAGCTGGACCTCAGGCTGCACATTAGAAATGAATTTATGCGCTGCGGCCTCAAAGAGATATTGCCGGTAAGCAAAACATCTCCACACACACACACACACTCACAGACACACGCACTATAAACAGTCTCTCAATTTGCATTAATATTCAAATGAGTTGTCCACTTTAGTGAAATATTGTTGATTATTTTTTTTATCAAATATTATTCTATATATTTTTTAAAGCCAATCATTTCTGAAACCCATAGGAGAGCTTGCACGTTCAATTTGTACAGTGGCAAGAAACCAGTTTTTGTTGTCTGTGCTAATAGTCCTCCTGCTGGCTTTTATAACATCTACCTAACATGTTTATCCATTGTAAATTATGCCGCTGCAGCTGCCACGGTAACAAATAAATTAAAGTGAAATGCTGGTGCCCTCATCTCTGCCGTGATAAAAAGTGGTTCTTTGAATCACCTCATTGTCTTTACCTGAGCATACTTCTTTGCTTTGGTAGCAACTGTCAGTGTTTGTCTAGAGACATTCTTGCTAATTCATTTTGTTCTAGTCTGTGTCTCTTAAGTCTGTTTCCTTTCATTATTATTATTATTTTTTTTACCTTGATATCTCTGTAGAATCTAACAACCATCAGGAATGAGGCCCTTGACATCCAGCTGAAGGTATTTGAGGAGCATAAAGAGGAGGACATGATGGAATTCTCTCATAGATTGGAGGACATCAAGAGTGAGCTTGAATATCCTTGTCAAACTTCGAAACATAAACATGACACTCGGGTCTTGCTCATTGTGTGATCTTTAAAATGTGATCAGAATGGTGTGGAAAACCTCATTAGTTATTTCTGAGTAGGTAAAGTAACAACAATCTGTAATTCTTTCATCTAATCTTATTCCAGCGTCTCCCTTTTTATGTGAAAATGCAGTGTTTCCATTAATCTTTGAGTCCTTGACTTTTTGTACCGATGCGGGGGATGTTTTCAGTATTGTGCAGAGTATGGTGAAGGACAGCACTGCAGAGTCCTATTTCCTCTCCATCCTGCAGCACCTGATGCTTATACGCAACGACTACTTGGTCAGGTAAAAACTCTGCCCAGAACCCTGATAATCCACAGTGCGTCTTTCTTGTTTTATTTCTTCTTTATATTTCACTCCCATTTAATTAATCGCACTCTGCCCTCAGGTACTTTTTGTGTCTCTTCGTGTGTTTTTGACCAAGACTTTCTAGACTCTTTTTTGTTGTTGTCTCTCCAGTCGTGTGGATATTTTCAATACGCAGCGGAGCTCTTCAGATTTCTATGTAGTTGAGAACAATATAACTTATCTCTTTGGTTGAAATGGAGATTGACATTATTTTTGTAGTATTTTCTCTTCCATTTTCTACATAATACTGACAAAGGCAGATGTCCAAATCCCTTTTCAGCACTCATAATGATGTACACCGGTTAAAAGAGGTTTGGTTTTATGGGGGTCTAACTATTTTTGCCTTAAGCTGTCTCAATGACTTTGACTAACAAAGGGAATGCTTTCTTTTTCATCTCCAAGCCATCTACAGCAACCAAGGCTTCAGAGCATTTCTCATTCCCTATTAATGGTACTTTTCAAAGGCTTATTTAATGTTGCTCACAGCTGGGTGTGACTTAAACCTTAGTTTGATCAAAAGGTGGAGCTTTTATCTCCAGAATACAAAATGTCTCACTTGCGTTTTTTTTGCCACACAAGGAATATGCACGTCTGATACTTTGCCCTGTGTGATAAATTTGGTTCATCTGAGGTCATTATGAAATGCTCATGCCATTGCTTTTAGGCTCTTCATTGTCTGTACAATCATACTGCCTTTCAGTGTCTTATGATGGCTATATGGGGTACACCGCTAATGTGCTTAGACCCAGTGCATGTTAGCGATTGGATAATTGTCACTACTGTAGGGCTCATTGGACCAGATTTCTCTCCTTTTTTTTTGTCTAAGTGGTGTATGTTGGAGAGAAAATCTAACTGCAGTTGACGTGTTTAACTTTTTGGACCTAAAAGATGCAAATCTTCACAGAGCATTACAGTTTTCGTTACGTTACTATATAACACATGTCTATGTAAAGTCAGAGTTCATTTGGTTCTTTCTAAGGCGCTGCTTTTGTTGCAGTAAGACAGTCCACATTTTTCTTGCATTAGATGCCAAAGTTCCAGAATAATGGGGAAAAAGTGTCTTCAGTAGTCTGACTGGTGACTAAAGACCATATTCCCTTTATTTAATATTTCTGTCTGCATTCAGACAATGGTTCCATCATTCAGTTCATATTAATCATAGATGAACTATTCGCTGTCAGATCTAGCTTGAGTATTGTTTTAGAAGAAGATGACAAGAAGTTATCTCAGATTAATCAATATTTATGCATATTTAATCAATATTTATGTAGTAGTTTTCCGATGGTTTAGTGTAGAGGGGATTACAACTCTCTGCGGCATTGTCAGGAGACAGCGAGTGGATCCAACACAGTTTCTCTCCTTCTTTCATTGGCGCTGTGGCACCCAGTGTAGGTTGTCATTTGCAGTTTTATGAGGGGAAAAAACCCACTGCTGATTGATATGAAGGTGTAAATGTAGTGAGTGACTACAACTGACTTACAATTGACATAGTGCTGTATTTCTTGAGAGAAATTGATGCTTTCATTTTTAGCCATCTTTGATATTGTGTTTTAAGATGACTTTTCCTTGTTTGTTTCTTTCTTTTTTACTTACAGGCTGTGGTGAGTTGTGTTGTTGCATAACTGACTGAATCCTTTATGATATTTAATAGTATCTGAATAGGTTGTAGAAATTATACAAAGACAATGGGCAGCCACATACGACTCTGTAATAGCGCTCTAAATGCAACTACCAACCATCTAGAAATGAATTAATCAAATTGATTTGCATTGATGTATGGATATTCAATTTTGTTGACTATATTAGAAAGATATCATCAAACTCTTAGAGCAGTGTTTTGATATTTAGTTACACTGGAACAAAAAACAAAAACAAAAACAAAACAAGAATAACAACCCCCCCTAAAAAAAAAAACAAGACCTTGAATGTTTTTACCCATCACACCGTCTCTCCTGAATTTTTTGTCTGACTTTTTTTACTTCTAGGCCCCAGTACTTTAAGATCATTGAGGAGTGTGTCTCTCAAATTGTGCTGCACCGCAGTGGCACTGACCCCGACTTCAGTTACCGCAAGCGCCTGGATGTTGACTTCAGCCACCTCCTTGGCAAGTTGAACACTTATGGAGGCCCTTTTTGCCCCATTACACAATGTTTTCAGTAAAGCACCGATGATGACTGCGTCTTTGCTTTTCAGAAGTGTGTGTGGACAAAGCGCGAATAGATGAGTATGAACAGAGAGCTTCAGAACTGGCACAGAAGGCAAGTATTTACCAAAATAAAGACGGAGAAAAAACAAAAAAACAGATATCATTTAGCTGTTTATCCTATACATCCTTCTGACCTTTTTCATGATTTGTACTGCATAACAACTGTGAAGAAAGCACCGCTGACAGTACGTCGTGGATTTGTTGGATACAAGATGATGAACACAGCAAACATCATATAAATGAGTTTAATCAGTAAGCAGGAAAAGAAAATGAAAAATAAATTGCTTTTGATAGGAAATATCATGAAGTTTGAAAGGTATGAATGGCAATCAGATGCTCAGATCTTGGAGTTTATTCTATGAAAAGGGCAGGATCTCAGTGCATAAACAACATGACTAGTTTTCTCAGATCACAGATTAATCATGTTTCTAACTCGATGCAGCCATATTTTTTTTATCTTGTTTCAACTTTCACTGTTAAGACCAAAAAAACAAAAAACAAAAAAGAATTTTATGAAGAAATTATTGAACTTTTAATTAGCTAGCTGGACTTTAAAGTTAAACTTAAAAGTTAATGATGTTTTGCAGTGACTGTTCTCATGTGCTCTTGGTATGTTTTAAGTAAAGAATTAATATTTCAAAAAGGATTCAAATCCTGCTCTGCATTGAGTTAAGTCTTATATAGATTCCATGTCCGAGTTTTTGTTGTGATTGATCTTTTCGTTTTAGTTTGATGAGGAGTTCCTCAGCAGGCAGGAGGCACAAGCGCAGCTGGTGAAGTGTGAAGAAAAAGTAGCTGAACTTCAAGCGGAGCTCCAAGCGTTTAGATCCCAGGTATAGTTGTCCATAGTTTGAATGTTTTTTTTCTATAAAGCCGTAGAGAGGACTAGGTTTTCTCCTTAAACAAAGCTTGAAGCCCAACTAGCTATTCCTTTATATCGTTATGAAATTTTCTTGTTATTTTGGGGTGGAGTTCAGAGACGGTGGCAAGGGTTTTCATTCACTGGACCCCGCAGTGTGGTTTGACATGGAGGCTGCTCCGCTGGCTAGCTGACACTAAGTCTAATAAGAGTACTGACCAGTCCTCCATGTTGGCCATTTCTAATTCTCTGATCTCTATCCCATAAGAGGAAATTGTTCTAAAAGCAATTTATTCTGACATCCCCTTCAGCTTTACCCTACCCCAGTTACTCCAGAGAGTTGCTCTCACACCCTGGCACTGCAAGATAACTACACACTCGGAGAGAAGAAAAGAACATCCCCTCTTTTCTCGATAATTTTTCAATTTGTGAGAGCAAACACAGAATGAATACTCAAATAGTACCCTGGTTCAGACAGCGGTTGTATGTTTAGTCAGTGCAGGTACACACATACATGCGCACTTTGTCTGCCTGGGTTTGTTGGTCCACGTTTGTTTCAGCTTCACCAGCACACTCACATGTGTGCCTGCCGGTGGCAGAATGAAGGGCCCATGGCTGACCTTTAGTGTGCGTCTTTAATCTAACACCAGTGCATCGATCAATAAGCAATTTGCTCTCTATGATATAATTTACTTCTTGGGTCAGTTATAATATTAGTTTTTAAACTTGGAAAGGAATTATTTCTGGGTAGGTTTTTTAACTAAATCTGGACAGTTTATGACCATTTGGCCACAGCGTATTTCACTTTATGTTTCATGTAATTATATCATTCTCCGTTTGGGTTTATACGCTCTGTTTGCACCCCATATAAAGGCTTTAAAAACAAAACAACTTCAGGACCTTTAAAACTCAACCCTTTTCCCCCTTACTCAAGAACTAAGTTTGTAAAGGTGAGTGTTGGTAGAACCCTTATGTAGATTCTTCAAAATCTGATGGATACAGATTTATTTTTGTAAAAAAAGAAACAACTGGAAGCAGATTTTAAAAAGTGGGCAGAAAGAGCTTTTCTTAATTTGAATTTTTTAATTTCTTTCTTAATTTTTTAGCTGTAGTGTAGTGTTGTTGGAATGCTGAGCTCAAACGCAGCAGGTTTTGTTTTCTTCTAATTAATTCCCTTAAGTGACCCAATCCAAGAATTAATTAGAACACGATGGCTCATAAATGAGTTTTAAAGAGTTTTGGATTCTGAAGTCTTATTTGAAGTTGCATAGGCAATAGAGCCTGAGGCTTGACAGGCTTTGGGATTTTGTGACTGAGATTTGGCAGCAAAAAAATAAACATATTCTCGGCGTTGTTTTTAAGTGGCTCACTTCGAATAAGCTTACTGGTGTCTTTGTTTTTTGGCACATTATTTGGAAAATATGTCATTACAGTATCACTTGATTTATTAATTTTTTACCACTTTTGTGTTTTTTGTTTTTGCACACCGACTCTCTTTAACTCAGTAACAGCCCAGAGTCCTCAGGGGAAAAAACACACACACACACACTTCTTTGTGGATTCAACTCTTCCTTAGATTTTATTTTTATTTGCTTCCTTTTCTTTGTTTTTAGCAGTTCGGAGCTGTACCTGTGGATCTGACCTCTGCTCAGGGAGGACAGCTATCATCTTCTTCTGCATTTCCATCTGGGGCCGGAGCCTCTGCCCCTGCTCCAGGGGGGCCAGTACCTCCTCCGCCCCCCCCACCTCCTCCACCTCCTCTGCCGGGCTGTCCTGCCCCACCTCCTCCACCTGGAATGCCTCCTCCTCCGTTTGGTGCTCCGCCCCCACCTCCTCCAGGTTTTTGTGGTGCCCTAGGCCCCCTGACTCACCACACACTGCCTTATGGCCTCAGGGCTAAGAAGGAGTTCAAGCCTGAGATCTCCATGAAGCGCCTAAACTGGTCTAAGGTAAACACTGAAAACTCATAAGAAACACATCTGTGTACGGCATACCAGGTGATGAAATATTTATTTTTCCCACTTCCCGTTGTGGTTTAAACTTCCTCACGTTTAAGGTTTAAGAAACTTTTGAATTGGAAACTTAAAATGTTTGGCAGGTATTTACGGAAGCCTTTTTTTCTGCTCTTCTACTCTATTGTTGAAGTTCCCTGTCAGCACCCAAACTGTACAGATGCTTTTTTTTTTTAATTCTGCAACATCTTTTTTAACTTTCTTCCAAGCCATTGAAAATAACAGATGATCAAGTGCTACTGGTGAGCAACCTCCCTGGTGTCGCCACAGATGTTGTTCCCCACAGAGCAATATTAATTCACACCATCAGTGATGTTGGTTTGTAGTTTGATTAATAATTTACTCTCAGGTTTACTTCTGTACAGGTGTTCAGCAAACTGAAACATCTGCTTGAATTTTATATGGGCCTTCAATAAGGGCATGAGGGGGACCTGTTTTATACTCCAGCTGTTGGAGACCTCCACATATGGGGAAGTTTGGGACAAATCTGTTCTGAAACTTCATCAGTTATTGGTTTGCTTCCAGCTCAACAACAACCAACTTTATTATTAACAGTCTGTAATGTGTTAGCAAACAGTTGGCAGTTTTCTCAACCAAAAAACAATGGGGATGAGGACATCGTGTTGAAATGATCCCTCCCCTGACCCCACAGCCAAAAGCTGAGCGTTGTTCCTGATCTTCATGCAGACTGCAGCTCAATTTTTTTAAACAACCTCCATTAATTGCCACATTATACAAAATGTTATGCCCCTTAAATATAGAACCAGTCAAATGAGGGTTGAGAAGAAGGATGATGGCCTTGAGGGCTTCGGGTCACATATACCTTTAACGATAAAATGATAATTGTTATTTACGTTAGATTATCTTACAAATGTCAAGAAATACAATGTTTTCATTTTCCTCTCCAGCACGTCCTCGTCTGCTGCCCCTCATTCATCTTTCCAATTCAATGAACAGTCCGTTGTGTATATACTTTGTCAAACTTGTTGCCCTTAAAACCTGAGTGTGCCCCCATTACCTGTATTATGGTCATTACAATAATCACTGGTGAGGTCTCACAGACAGCACAATGGAGGGTGCACAGGGAGCGATGAGGCCACCTATGTGGTTATTACCCTCTACGTGGGAGACCTAGGCCCATTTAAACACTATGTGAGAATATGCATTCATTCAATTCAGCCAAGTGGAAATCACATACATTCTCAGTTTCAACTAAAATACACGGATATTTTAGTCGTTTTCTTTTCAATATCCTGATTCCTAATGAGAAGAAAAATCTGCTTGTAATTTTAAGCTTGGGGTCCTTTTGACGTTTATTTTGTGATTTTAAAAAAGCAACCAAAAACATATTTATACTGGTTATACTTGTTAGACTGGTTATGAAGAATTTGGGATCGGGACAGAATTTTCCATCACAAGTATAATCTGAGTGAAACTGTGTAATGTGAAACTACTGAAGGCTCTTCCTATAATGTAGATAGACACAAGATATGCAGGAGATAAGAATCAAAGAGTCTACTCTTCAAAAATAAATACAACTGGAATGTTCTCTCATAAGCTAAACACCTCAGTTTGTTGTCTACTTTTTCAGATGTTACCAGTGACGACAGGAAAATGTTCTGTTTTCAGATTCTCCCTCAGGAAATGTCGGAGGTCTGTTTCTGGGTGCGGGCTGATGAGGACCAGTATGCAAAGCCTGATTTGCTCAGCAGAGTTGCTCTTACTTTTGGCTCACAAAGAACAGGTTAGACTGAAAAATTCACTTCACCTAATGCCCTTCTATCCTTTTCTTTTTTTTTTCTCTTTAAAGTAACAGGTTATCAGGGAGTTGTTTATCTGATATTTGAACAATGGAAATTCTTTTTCTCCTGTCCTACCTGACTCAAGACTATGGCACTTTGGCCACAGATGTGGAGAAGAAAGAGAGACGATTAAGCTGGATCGGTGAAACCTCTGTGTAAAATTCATGGTTTATGTCGGGAGCAAACTAAATGAACTGCAATACTGATTTCTCTGCGTGATAAAACGTGGCGTAGTTATATCTGCACACATTAGTATGGCAAGTAAGACCTGCAATATTCATGCTTAAGATTGTTGAAATGATTAAAGCGGGAGCAGGAGGTAGCGAGAGATGTTATCACTTTTGTCCTCCCTTGTGTTTGGTCTATTAGTCCTGTCACTGATGATTTATTCACATCGTGTGTTTTCCTTCTTGTCTTGCGACCGCCTCAGCTCGCTTACACCAGTTTGAATTATTCATCCAGGTGTTATCTACCTGTCACAACTCTATGCTGCTCCTCTCCAAGCACATAGGACCCTCGCCTCACCGACACCCCGCCCCAACCCATTTCACTGCCGTTATGGTGTTGAATAATGGAGGTCGATCTAAATGGCAAGTAGGCAGACTGTCGGTCAAACAGGTGCTCTCTCTCGGAAAGGACAAAGGAAAAATGGCCACAAGCAAACAACTGAATTTTTTTTTTTTTTATTTATTTTTGCTGTGGGGGAGTGATCCAGAGCTAGCACACGGTAAAAATGGATTTATAGTTATGATGAAGCATGCTTCTGATGGTGTGATGAGGCACATAAACAGACTGCTCATGCGCGCTTGATCTTAGCCTTGCTGAGAAGGGGCATGAAACATTTTTGATAAAGATCAAATCTTTCACATGGTTCGAATGGATTCTTTCTGTTGTTTTTCTCCGTATCTCTCCGTGTCCCAGAGGAAGTTGTTGGAGCTGCGTGAAACGTAGGTTGCGCTGTCGGATCCAGTTGCTCCTGCTGCTTTGTGTCAGCTGGTGAAGTTGAATGCATGTGCCGTGTAGCACGGCGTTTCATCTCACTTAAGAGCTGTAGCATCTGGATCAGCATTAAACATTTAAAAGGACACAATGTGAAACAGTATTCCTCATTAAATATTCATTTATATCTCTTGAAACTTCTTTATTCTTTTGTAATGTTTGTGCTTCCTGCTGCTGGTTTCTGAGAACATTTTTTGCCACCCTGTATGACCCCACCTCCCCTTGCTGGGACCGCTTTGTTTTTTGGACAACTTTGAATGAATCGAAAATAGAATATGCGAATATATTGTTTGTCGCCATGACACAAAGTCTTGAGAGAACTCTTTCCTTAAACTTGTATTATTTTGCATTTAAAACTTATTAATCTCAAGATGTATATATAAAGCTATCCCTTTTATGATTGGTTTTTCAGCTATTCACGGAGAAATGTGCTCCCGCACCCTCCCGTTCTTTTGACTTTTTATTTATTTGAAGGGTCCCTCCAAGTTCAGAAACATCAAAAACATTGATTGGACTGGTATAAAGCCACAGTTCACTGTTTGATTACAGAAACGAAAGGAAAAATGAAATGTCTGAATATCCCAGCAAGTAGAGGCTGAAGGGGCCCATCTTTCAGGCCACGTTGGGGACATGGCCGCCATATTGAAAGCTGCCATATAAGATCAAAGGGCCAGTTTTTCCAATGGCATGATGGTGATCTAGAGAATATCAAAGAACAGAATTGTTTCAGAAATCGATTGCCTTGTATCATGGGCAACTGCAAACGTTACCTGTGATGTACGGCGTCCATCTTTTTGTGATTTCATAAAGATTGGGCTTTGGCCGTGTTCTTTATGCTCGTCTGGTTTTTGATACCTGATGTTGATCCAAATACTGTTGTCCAGAGACAAAGGATCGTGTAAAACATAGGATGAATCATTCATTGAGCACCTTCTGGTGGTTTGTTTCCAGAAAGTGGCAAACTAAACACCTGTGTGAATGAAGGGCCAACATTTTCGGTTCGTCCGTCTGCTTTTGCGCTGCAGCGTGGCAGAACTTGACGAGGACTTGAAGCCTCTGAGTGAAGGAGGGTTGTGTTGGGTGCACGCACCATATGATGTTTTACTGGCAGGGAGGACACTTTTTCACTGTTCAGATTCCCCCCCCCCATATTTTTGAACAGAGATCAATTTTGAATGGACAATAGAGGATTTAAGTGAGTTTTGCCAGCAGACAGGCGCTGATTTGGAGTTGGGGAACATCTTGGATCAGTCTCCCGGCTTTGTTTACTTCTCTCAGATATTTGGTCCATAGAACAGTGAAGCCCTTTGAGCTGCTTTCAGAATACATCTGTTTGTGACACCATCTGAATCTGTAATGAGGTTCAGGTTGAATTGAAGATCGCTCAGGAATTTTGCGGAGAGCAGTTTAAGGCTCAGTGTTGTCTTGAGTGCTGGCTGTCATTGTGTAGGGTGATGATCTGTGTGTGACATGGGTCAAATGCAGGTTTCTTTGCATATCGAGTGGGAAGGTTACTTTTGATTAATTATCGTCACTTTGAACGCGTGAGGTGTTTTTATTGCAAGGTGTGCATTCTTGCTCTTCAAATGATCTACCTGTGATGAGCCAAGATGCAATAGCGATATGTGTTACAGATAAAAACTCTGCAGAGAAGAGAAGTAAAGATCACTTATTAACATGCCCCAGCGTACTCTGAGACGTATTATGTTCCATTTGAACTCCATTTGGAGCGCTCTCTGAACTGGTTTAATCATCCTCCACCAGGTTAAGAAGACTGGCCACATACTTTAATAGTTTACAGGTTGCACATTCATTCCAAAAGCAAGTTTCTTAGAATTTTCCAGAGAGCTGTGAAACTTGTTCATTGCTCGAAGATGAAGGAATATAATGGAGGTAGGGAGCTGCATAAGGATTCTTGACCAGAACTTCAAACAACCAAATAGTCCAGCAGGATAATGCCTCCAAGAACATGTCAGCACTTCAGCACTTTCTGTATTTCTAGCGCTAAACATCCAAATTTTTCTCTATTGTAAAAAAGAAAAACTCAGCATCAGGGTCCAGTATTATGGAATTGTCAATAAAAAAAATAAAAATTCTCCAGAAGAAATCCTTTGACCAAACACTTTTCATCGTTAAAAAAAAGAAAGAAGTTTAATTGAAGTTTTAAGTGTTCAGTTTACTTTTTGTCCCTCTTTGGTGTTTCATAGAAAATTTAACTCACCATAATGATTCAAAGTGTGAGACATTATTGTTCTGCTGAGGTTGCAAAATTGGCAATTAACAATGTTGACTGAAATATTTCTCATTATATCTCTTATGCAGATCACATAACATCTCACGAGTAAAGGAAAAAACATAATTTTTTACATTCGAGAAAATAAGTGTCCTAATTTTTTTGAGAAACCTTCTCTTTATGAATGTCTTAAAGATTAGCCGTGACCCAGGTGTTCTACCTTATTCTTTGCAAAGATTATATCTTTTGAATCTATCAGTTTCAAAAACCTCTTAAACCCACTACAGGCTTTAAAATGCCTGAATCAACTTGGCCCCGTGCACAGCAAGTATACGCCGTTGTAAAATAGAAAATGCTCCGTTGCATTACAGTGAAGTAAATCATGTGACTTCTAGGCTGATTATGAATGGAGAGGTTTTACTCAAAGTTAATCGGTAGATTCATAGGTGAGGTTGAGCTCATTGTGGTTAATAATTACAAATTATGAATAAGGCGAAGTTAATGATGCTACTGTGTCTTCTTTTGAACTCAGAGCTTTACTCTGCCCCCCCTTCCCCGACATCTGCAGGCTTAATTGCGGTCTTTGTGGTTATGGTTTCATTTGCCACGTTGGGATTCCATAGGGGGAAAAAGACTCCTTCCCTTTGAGTGTCATCAAGGAACTTTAAAAGAGGGTGATCTGAAAGTGGCATTAGCTGAAGTATTGTAATTCTCTGGAAGATCGTGACTCTAAAAGTGTGCACGCTCTCAAGCTTTAAAGGCGTTTGTATTTTACTTTTCTTGAAGTATGTCTATTGAAGTGGAAGTTGGCAAGTTAAATGGTTTTGTGAAATTTTTTGGGTGATAATTTGTACCGTCTCAGTTTCTGAAACACTTGGGGAAAAAAATCACGCATGTCAAATTGAGATTCACATCTTTTCCTACTGTCAATGCGGTGAACGTGGGGAAAACATAATGGCACATATTAAAGATCTGTCAGACGGAATTAGTAAATCAATGAATGTAATGACAGAAACCAATCTGTGTGATAATATCCTTGATTTGGATGAGAGATGCGGGGCTCTGACCTGCAATGTGACGTAATTACGACTGTGTCATCATTACCCTTCAGTGTCGTTTATGAATCAAATCACTCATCACAATGGGAACATTGAGTCTTTTTCCACGAATGGGCAGAAATTCTGTGATTCCAAAGTCTTTTTTGAGTCATATTAACTGAATAGAAACTTTTTTTATTTCTTAAGGAACAGAAAACCTGTCTGTTTTGCCTGCTCTGTGATTACTTTTTTTATTCCATGCTTTGTTTCCTTTTTTGCACAATACTACTTACTGCAAACACTACTAACCATCTTTTTCTTTTCTTTCTCCAAATTCGCTCTGTTTCTGGTACTCTCTCGCACTTTCGTAACTTTATTCTTGCAACAACTGCTGTTTGGCTGCTTGATGTGCCTTCATCTTCTCCGGAACAGAAACAAGAGGTGAGTACTTTTATTTAAACTATAACCCATTAGCTGCTTGTTTCCTGACCTCAGTAACTTCCAGCATTAAGCTCTTTGTGATTGTTTTTTTGGGTTTGTTTTTTTGGCACTTTAAGATATAACATTGTTACCTAATGAGACTTTTTATGGATGAATGTATATATATGAATTAACAAAAAATGCGATAAAAAAGCTTATGATAAAAAAAAAAAAAAAGGCCATACAAGTAAACATGTAATCAGGTCTCATCTCTATTGTCCAGCGGTCTTGACACACCTATAAAACTAATAATTATTGGCTTTTATACTCGTTCTTCCACTGATGTAAACTACAGTTCCTATTTGCCTTTTAAAATCTCATACATTTGGA